TGCAGGTACTATAATGTAACTAATAAAAGGAATGATTATATTAACTGACCTCAGTGTGTTGTAGTAAGTCTTGATCCTTTTCTTTTAGTTCCTATACAATACAATATTCATTAAACAATATTCAATTATTCATATTATGTACCTTTTGTCTAACATCTTGTCTCCTCCATAATGTTAAGTTACCAATAGTCAGTTTCTTTAATCCTTGTCCCATTAGTATATGAATACTCTCTATCATCCTCAATACAGTAAACTCAACATCAGAGAAAGGAAAGGAGCAAATGACACATATTGAAGTGGAGGATCCTATAAACTTAATGACCAGTAGTTTACCAGACACTTTTGATAAAATGCCCTTGATATCCTGCAGCACATGTTCCTCAGGCTTCCAGTCAAAGATAAAAGTGGCTGTTTGACATTGAAGATGAGAAACAGAGTCAAATCTTTTTTCCAGGCAAAGAATAACTGAGATTGATTCGTAGAATTTCTTTAACTCAGCTCTATATGTCTCAATGTGTTCCTCTGCTTCAGTGATCTCCATTTCCTCCACTATGCTATGAAGTAGTTCAATATTAGTCAGTGAACACTCATCTTTAACATGACGAAGGATGCTAGAAGTATCTGAACACTGTTCAACTTTTTGACTAAGAGAAGTGCTGTAACAAGAGAGGAACTCTTTAATGTCATCAACGTCCAATTTCTTCTTTAAAATCTTGCAAACATTATACAACATCCTTGTGTAAGAAGCTTTTATTGAGCTATACTCCACAAATAAATGTTGAGGAACAGGTACTTCAACTAAAAATAGTTTCATTAACAGCAGCTATGTAATCAAAATACTACCTTGAGGTGATAATGGTTGTGAAGATGAATTACTATTAACTTCAGCATCAGTCGTACTACCTACAAAAGAAAGACAATAAACAAACTATTTTTGTACATGCATTAATGTAATACATACCAGATTGTGTATTACTTGGTAGCTTGGCTTCATTGGCAGTACTTGTATTATCTATAAATATTAACAAACGTATTATCAATTAATTAATAATTATTACCTTGTGGAACTACATCATAATCTTTAATAGTCTCGGGAACAATACCCACTTCAGGAGTAGGAAAATACTTACCTAAACACATAATGAAAAAAAAAAAACAATTGTCATTAGTTATGATATACTAAATAGACTACTACAGTACATTCATGTTTCCTACCCACACATGTACATTCACCTCATATAATTGAACATATTCATTAACTATACACATAATTTATATTAACAATAGTGAATAATACTGGCCACCCACATCTGCTTTATCTATGTAATAAGAAACTATGAACTATGAATTTAATTTCGAATGGCCATTCAGTAACACCACATTTTAAAAGATGTAGTGATTATTATCATCATCAAACTCACTAATATCATCCAGTATAGTTTGTCCCAGTGATACATTAGTACTGATTGTACACAATACATTAGCAAATGTATGTAAACTGTTGGGATCAGTTTGAACAGCTTCTTTCACAGCAGTTAATAGAGCCTCACGTTGATTAGGAATAGAGGGACTAGCTGACACCACTCTACTAACTGCTTCTTGTGTTAACATACGTTCACCATAAAGTAACCAAGCAATACTAACAGAATCACAAAGAGACTGAGACAGGACAGTATGGCGATTATTAAAAATATTAATAAGAACCTGATGTTCTATGATAGAAAATACAACGATTATATATACACGGTAGTTACATGGTTGACTCACTTAACTTCTCAGCTACAGCAGTTTCATTCATAGATCCTAGAGCATCTGACAGTGAGTCCAAGTTGGCTCCTCCTCTACTGTCAACATTATCAGCTCTACGTAGCCATTGGGAGAGACACTCTGTCATACAGCGAGACACATCATTAGGATGATTCTTTTCTATGTCGTCAAGTGTACTCTTCCTAAGTCCTAGTCTCAGTCCAAGGTTATACCAATTTGCATTAGGAAAACCACATCTCTTCAATAAGTCCAGAACATCAACAAGATCATCAAAACCTAGGTATTTTACAGTATTTTATAGTCTGGCGGATTTTATACATTGTATATACAACAAAATCAAAATGGCGGATTCAATGTTCATACCTAAACAAGTTTGACTGGATCCAGTAGCCATGGCTCCATTAGAATAAGTGCAGTTAGTGTATCCTGACCTGAATCAGGAGCTAACCAGAGATAGAACAAGCTAACAATGAACAACAACCGACAACAACTTGGCTTGTAAATTATGCTTGCGTAGAAGGGTGGGGCTTTAATAGCTGCCACACCTAGTCACCTACCAGATACATTACAGTTTTGAATGTGACTTGCTGATTCTAGTCTCTGCTGATTCTTATATCTAATGATGGAGGAAGAAGTATTAGGTAGCAGTAATTATTATTCCTTTTCTTCTCCCGTGTCTGACTATAATTACAATTCAAATGAAGAGAAGAACGACTCTGAAGGCCAACATGTGAAGTCACGTGATCTCTCTCCTTCTGATCCATTTATTGATAAAGTAACTGATTTCACTCAAAAACATAAAGACCTGCTGAATCGACTCTGTTCTTACGACAATCACTCAACACATTCAACCACAAATACATGTAGTGTAATGGATACAAGTGAATCATTATTAATTAATTAATTATTAATTAGAATTAATATTACTTTATCACAACAGGTGTAATGTATGGAGATTTCCCTCCAATTGAGTATCAGATGATGATTGATGTGTCGTATAGAACTGAAAGAGCATTACAAGTTAGTCTCAATGTGATAAATGTATGTAGTAATTGCCCATTCATTGTATTGTGCCTTCTTTAGTTAATGGTTCCTGGTCAGTTAGTTGAGGGTTTTGTCAGTAAAGTATCTAGTAATGGACTAGCTATTGAACTAACTGAATTATTACCATCAACATCATCATCATCATCATTATTACTTGCTGTAAGAAGAGAAATAGCAGGTCTTAGGATAAAGGTTGGACTCTATACAGAGGGGGCCGGGTCTTGTGTTGTTATAAATTTAACTGTAGGGTCTTGTGAAGGTTGAGAATTTAGCAAGTGACCCTGCAAAGGCTAAAGATGCTTTGAAAGAGTATCAGATTGATGATGTTGTACAAGGTAAATTAGGTATTTATAATCATAATTATAAATTCACTATAATTACTTGTACATTTGTATGCATGTGTATATGCACATGTACATGTATACCATGTATTATATCATTAGGTTTGATACTTGGAGTAGAGGCTGGTGTTGTTCAAGTGTCTTTTTGTACTGATGACACTGAACTTAAACTGGTAAGGATAGGAGCTGCACAGCATTAACAATAGCCAAACATTGTGTATTAATGTGTAATAGTAATAAACCATGATACTGTAGCACAGGAAATTGTGTTAAAAATGAAAAGGAGAGAATCCTTCATTTTTATAATTTATTTTGATACATATACATGTTCTTATGTTATGTTTTGAGTTTGAGCTAATTCTGATTAAAATTAGATCTTTAAATAAATTTTTCTAATTTCTGCATTCACAGGGTTACATTGATATTGATGTACCACTACCTCCTAAGATGTAAGTATAACAATTTTCACACAGTTTTAAAATTTTGCTCTCCCTCTCTCTAGTCCCAAACCTACGGATTATATTGATAAACTAACAAGATCATCAGGTTTTAAAAACCCGTCTTGTGTTGATAATTTAAAGTCAGTCCTGGGACTATCGACTGCTTCTCCTCAATCCTTCAGTTTTCTAAGACCAATCTCCATGTGAGAGACAGTATACTTGTAATGAAATGGGAACTATAGTATCAGAAATATGAATTAGTTTTAATGTAATATATCCCTTTAGGACTGAAATTAAAGATGGTGAATATTATGATTCTTTGAGGAAGTCACAAAGATCTAAATGGTCTATGGATACGTAAGTTTCTGATACTGTGGTACATGTATGTACATTTTGCACAGTAATCATTAATGACAAACATTATCAACAATTTATACATTCATTTCCTCTTTCTCCTTCTCTTTAGTGTTGCCAGTGGTGTTGAATGCTTTAAAAAGCATCAATATGAAGATGCATTGAAACATTTCAATTATGCTCTTGAAATTGACACAGAGAATGTTGAAGCAATGGTTGCTAGAGGAGCACTGTAATTATAATAATTATTATAAAATAATAATAATGTACTATCATTATTACAGTTATGCCAACAAAGGAAAGTATGAAAAAGCCATCAAAGACTTCGAAAGTGCTCTCACCATAAACCACACCCACTCCAATGCAAAGAAGTACTTGGTTGAGACTCAGACAGCTTACGGGCGAGAGTAAGTCACATGACTGTCTCATGATCATCACATGACATGTACATGTACCTACAGGCTAGAAAGACAAGGTGAGTTCAAGGTTGCTCTACGTTGCTATCGTGAAGCTTTGGCTGACAACCCTGAGTCTGAACCAGCCAAGACTAGAGCAGCACTGCTAACAGCAGCACTGGAAAAGAAGGTGTGTCACATTAGTCATGTGACTTGGTGTCATGTGATGTATTGTCATCTCTCCCTCTTAAAATAACACCATATACAACCATTGGGGCATCAACTACTCCATGGATCAATGACATCAATCATATTCCTACTTCATCTCTCTCTCTCTCTCTCTTTCTCTCTCACTCTTCACTTCAACATTGGCTGATATGGGGAATGTTATTTAACCACTAATAACTCCCTGTGTCTTATGGTATTATAATGGTAATTGTATAACCTGCTCATTTGGTTAACACTGTACTGATCACAATCATCATTACTTCTTGAGGCTGCTGAGTTGAGAGAGAAAGAGAGAAAGAGGAAAGAAGAGGAACAACGGTTGAAGAAGCTACAGAAGATAATAGAGAAGGATCGACGCCATAAGAAGCACAAGAAAAAGTGAGAGGGTAAAATGTATTTTATATATTAAATGTAGGTATAGGAGTAAGAAGAGATCAAGTGACAGGAAGAGACATCATTATTCTTCAGATTCATCTCATAATGACTCACCTCCACACAAACACTAACTGACTCTACACTAACTGTACTTATAATGCACACATACAGTTACTCATTGTAAAACTGTCATTCATTTTTTATGTGAATTTTAAAAATTTTAATTTGAGCTTCCTGTTTTTGTTCACACCTCAATTTACACCTCAAGGTGTTAACAAGGTGTCAGAATTGCAACTTGTAATTTTTGACTGGCTGATTTTAAAAATTTGGTTGATCTTTTGGCTCAAAATAAATTAATCATTGTAATTCTTACATTAAATCAGACGTAAATAAAATACCAAAATCTATAGATATTAAAGCATAGACTATGACAATCAATCATATATTATAACACAAAAAATAATTGCAAACAACAACAATGATAATAATAATAGTAATAACAATTAATGATAAGAATACTGTATGAATATTATGGACAGTATAAAGGAGAGGGGAGGTTGTATGTCAGTATACTTCAGTATATTCTCCTTGTATTCTAAGTGTTTGTATTATGATTGCTGCTGCTGTGTTTAGTTCTTTTCTTCTTTGGTGGGTTCATTCTCACAAACGTGCTACCAAAACACATCCCAGTTCGATTTGGTTTAGGATGACCTGTTGCTTTATCGCAAGGAAGACGGATCAGTACAGATAAAATGGCTGCCTTCGAGTCATTGACTGTTTCTACGGCAACATAAGAAGCAGTTTGTTTAGCTCTTGATTTTAAAGGAGTGTCCACTATTGCCTTGATACGAGCAAATGGACGTCGGACTCGTCTCTGCATTTCAATATGCTGAGCCTGTAAGGTAATGTATAGTCACATGATCATCATGTGACTGTCATGTGTGATGTATGCATAGTGTGCATATGAAACTTACTCTAATTAATGCACGGATCTCTAGTTTCCGTTTAATGTACCAGCCCAATAGAAAGAGTGAGAGTAGGAATGTAAAGCATCTGAAGAATGAAGTTATCATACTACTGTACATGCAATGGTTATGGTGACTTACGTAAGGAAAGTAACAAAGAAATAGATGAGAAATGTTAAATCATTTTGATCAACTGTAATCTGTAAAAACAAAAAATAAGATAATGGTTATATTTATGACTATTTTTGACTACTTTTAAAAATACATGTATACATACATTACTACATTGTATAATGCATTTATTCACATTCCTCACTAACCTTATATTGTAAGTCTGGTTTTAAATTGAACACATAAATAACTAGACCCACGTCCCCATCCCACAGGTTACTAGTGAAGTCATTACTGCTGGAATTACCAAACAACCAGCCAAACTGTGCTGTGCTCTGAATATCAGGTCTTGCAAATGAGAAAAGGTTTGACGAGTTGAAGGTAACGGAACTAAAGGATTCATATCTTTCACTGTGCGAGTTAGTCCCACTTATTGTCAATACATCAGTGACATTGTACAGGATAGCATAATTCTGAGATGCTGTAATAATGAAAAAAGAATAATAATAATAATTATTATTATTATTGGTTATCATGTGATAGTCATGTGATATGCAACTTACATCTTCCTAGGAAATATTGGACTGAAATAGATGAATCAAAACGATTCCTGGATATCTCAAATTTGACATTTAATCTGCTACTCTATAGGAGAAGAAAAGGGCACATAATAACAAGAAAAAACTAACTACTAGAACAGGCTATATATGCTACAATATTTCATAACTTTTATTATTATTATTATTATACAGTATGTGATACTCACTGATCTAGGACGCGCAACAAAGAAATTCTGTGTTTCAACATCAGGAGATAAAAAAGTATAAATAAAACCAACGGAAAGAGAATCTGAAAAAAAAACAAAAAATACATTTATAATCCAAGCAGACGTTATGTATTGTTTAACATTATTGATCAACTCACAGTAGCAAAAGTTGGATGCATTCCCCCGATAGTTCTCAACGGCTTTACATAAAGTACAAGTTGATCCTGTCACTCCGGCATCAAGACAAGTACAGTTACCTCGGGAATTATCACAGACAGTATTGTAACCATTACAATCACATACTGGAGGAAGAGAAAGAGGAGGAAGGAAAAAATAGAAGAATAATGTATAAATAGGTAAATTTGCAAGAATTACCAGAACAAGAACGTCCATTTACAGGACGACCGAAATAACCATCTTCACATGATTCACAATTAGCACCTAAAGAGAACAAACCAGACAATCATAGAAGCAGTACATAATTATGGTATGTGTGGATACATACATGTACATGTGTGGGTGGATGTACATGGTATGTGAACATAATGTACTGTGTAATATGGTATTGTCGGTTACCTCTTGTGTTATTCTGGCAGTCAACACAAACTGATAGATTGACACACTCACTGTGACCATTGCAATTACACACTTTGAAGAGGATAAGAGAGAAAATTGGAAAAAAGGAAGAGAGAAAAATAGAGTTAATACAATACTGAATATATGAATAAGCTTACAAGGACAGGTATCATAAAACCAGTGAGTATCGACACAGAATGATCCGTTAAGAGATCTAAGGAAACCTCCTTTACCACAAGTCCCTAGTCCAGTATCGGACTCATCTCTACACCAGCCACACCCAGTCTCTGTTCTACACTCAGCACATGTTAAATGATCACTGCAGTCCTCGGTAACACCTACGATCAGAAATAATGTGACAAATGATTCTGTTTGATATTGGCATATCCTTATACTGACTGTAGTGAGGCTTAAACTTTGTTTCTGATGCATATGTACATGTACATGTTCTTATGTTGTATAGATAGTCTAAACTGGTTCTAATCAAGCTTTGATTTTATATAAATTTTTAAAGTTGCTCAAAAATCAATAGATAATGTATATGCATGTTGTATGAATTTACTTGAGCAAGACTGAGTCCAGCCTAGACACTGTCCAAAAGGAAAGAGATAAGGATAGACTCCAGTATTTATACATTTATTAAGAGAAGAGCACCAGAGACAGTTTCTATGGCCAATACAAGATGAACAAGAAGAGAGTCCTGAACAACCAGTAATGACTGAACAACTGGTGATTGTATCTAAGAGAGAGAGGGGGGAGGGAGAAAAGAAATAAATCACACTGGACTATATAAATTAAAAGCCCTATAATTAAGTATTCCAATTGTTATCCCTCCCTCTCTCCCTCTCCTTTACCATTAGATCTGAAGGTACACCCAGTTTGAGTCCAACCACAAGCTTCATGAGCTACACAAGACACACAAGATAAATAATGTGAACAAGAATCTGGTCTAGACTCAGAACAAGATGGATCATTGCTGGTAGCAGCTGTAGCAGATGTAACAGCTGTGGTATTGCTTGTAGGATCAACATATTGACACTTGTTATTGATCCAGTGACAGTCAGTGGAGCTGCTGGTGTTACACGATAAGCAACTTATGTGAAGGTGACAATATGAGCCTGTGTCTGAATAAAGGAATAAAAATGTAACAATGATAATAATTATTATTATTAAATAAAAAATGAGAGGAAGAAAGAGATTATGTGTGTGTTATTTACCAATATTCTTCTCCAAATTAATGTCAGTACAAGTTGAGTTATTGAACCAGCGACACAATGACCCACTGCAAGAAGAGACACTATCATACTCACTGCAATCTCTTCCAACCCTAAACATCAACACATCATGAAAGGTGGAGCCTTTGAAGCCGCCATACAGCAGGAGAGTAGTGTTGTCAGGGGAGACCGCTGAGTAACTATAGCGACTGGCGTTGCTAGGGAGACCAGGTAGTGACAATGTCCTCCACTCATTTTGCACTGTAAAAAAATTAAGAAAAAATTACTAGTAAAAACACATATTTTACATAAAGGCTCACATATATCATATAGAACTAGATCAGAGCTAAAGCAATCATTGCTCGTAGTGTATCCACCAAAAGAGACCAAGGCTCCATTCATCAGTAGAGTTGAATGAAAGGACTGTTTCAAAGGACCACTTGATATATCTCCACTCCAATAATGAGTCACTGGATCATAGGCTATGATGCTTGATAGAGTATTTCTTAAATGTTCTCCTCCATAAACGTACAGTAGACCAGTCTCTGGTACATAGACACTGGAGTGAGCCATTCGTTCTGAAGGGATGATACCATGCTGGGGAGGTGGGTATGGCCATGACTCATTCACTATGAGATAAATGAAATAAATAAAAGAAGAAATATTCAATTAAATGATGTATCTCTTAATCTCTCTCTTTCCTTCTCTTACCTAAATCAAATTCCTGTACAAAATTAGGAATCTCAATGCTGCCTCCATCACTCCACAACTGATCAGAATAGCCAAGGACTATTAACATCTTATCCCCCACCACATTAGCAGTGTGATCCTTCACTCTTATGGGGCAGTACTCCATCAGTGAGTCAGTTTCATTGTCACTGGTCTGGCTACACTGATCAATCTGAGTCCAGTTCATGTTTTGAAAGTCATATCTCCACAGCTCATTGGTGATCTCTTCACTGGGGATAAGGGCACCGCCATAAATGTACATGAAATCCTGTGAATAATTTATAATAATATTAATAATAACAACAACAACAACAATAATAATAATAATATTATAATAATAATTACTTTATATACTACTGCTGAGTGACCATAACGTGGGCGTGGCTTCGCACCTATTGGCTCAATTACTGTCCAATCATTGTCATTAATATCATACCTATAATAATAATAATAATAATAATAATAATAATAATAATGATGATGATGATGATGATGATGATCATGATGATCATGATCATAATGATGATAAACACAAACAAAAAACAATCGCAACAATAACAAAAATATCTACTTGTACATTTCTTGTAATAATCACAATAATACCATATTTAGAAATTAAAGTGGGCGTTATACTGATACATATGTACATGTACATGTACATGTAACTCACTGTAGCAGATCAGCATATTTTCCTTCCTCTCTGTCTCCTCCACTGCCATCAGCCAGAGGCTCAGGAAAGGTACCGTCAAACTGATACCCACCAAATACCCACATAGACCCCTCCCACAGTACGGAGGTGTGGCCAGCTCTACTCAACAATACTGTATCTATAAAAGGATTTAGATACAGCAGACTATTACTAATGTACAGATTAATAGTTGTATATTGCATTTATTTTAAGATATATAGTACAAATAAGGTTCTACATGTCACTTCATAGTGCATGACTTGCTTATAATAAGAGGATGTGAATCATAAGGAAATGGTATGAGTGTTTGTGTACATACAAGGGGAGGGTGTGAAATTATCCTAATAGACTGGATATCAATATATACCAGTACATATCAATAGAGCAATGTAAGGTACATGTACTAATAGCTAACCTGTATTGGATATGTTCATTACAGTCCAGTGTGGTCTATCATTCAGTATTGAACAATCAGCACCTGTAATAGTAATGGTAATGTAATGATAATGTAATACATTAAGGCCTCCATACACTAGGCAACATGTTGCTGGCAACTTCTGTGGTCACTTTGATCTTGTGTCTAAGAATAGAATTCTGTTCTATTTTTGGAACAAAATGATTACAAGATCAAAGTAATCACAGAAGTTGCTAGCAACATGTTGCCTTGTGTATGGAGGAGGCCTTTATAGTCAACATGCAGTGATTTAAAATGAACTGATATTCTTATTAATTTATAGAAGTATTAAGAACATCAAGATTATTATTTATTAATTAAGCCACACCCCTCATATGCACATATAGCCGTCCATCTTACCAGTGTAGTCCTCGTCACAGACACATTCCTTATTAAGACAGTTTCCATGGTGATTGCAGTTATTAGGACAAGCAGGAGACTGGCAGTACTCTCCGGTCCAATCAGGATCACATTGACACACCCCCCGGGACTCATCACACAGTCCATTGTTAGAACAATTACTGATACAAGTACTGACCCTATTATAAATAATAATAATAATAATAATAATAATAATAATAATAATAATAATAATAATAATAATAATAATAATAATAATAATAATAATGATGATGATAATGATGATGATGATGATGTACATGTAAATGCTGGTATTAATTCTTTTTGGATGCCAATAAATCAAAAAATATTTGTTGGAATTGGCTCAAACTTTCTACACAGCATAAGGACATCAATATGTATCAGAAAATGTAATAAAAAGTGGGGGTCATTTCGGAGCCATTTTTCGGAAAAAACCATGGGCTATAGCCTTGGGTACTTTTCAGAATTTTGGCATTTTCTTAAAATGGCCGTAACTCAAAAAATTGAAGTCGAAACCGGCTCAAACTTTCTACACAGCATAAGGACATCAATATGTATTAGAAAATGTAATAAAAAGTGAGGGTCATTTCAGAGCCATTTTTCGGAAAAAACCATGGGCTATAGCCTTGGGTACTTTTCAGAATTTTGGCATTTTCTTAAAATGGCCATAACTCAAAAAATTGAAGTCGGAATCAGCTCAAACTCTCTATACAGCATATGAGCATCAATATGTATCAGAAAATGTAATAAAAAGTGGGGGTCATTTCGGAGCCATTTTTTGGAAAAAAACCATGGGCTATAGCCTTGCATAACTAGAAAAATGCTAAAGGTTTCTTATAATAATAGTTAGTCACTTGTTATTGTTAAAACTAGTACCATCTAATGATGTTTACAATAAAATGAATAGTTAATTCCTTTTTATTATACATGTACATGTACTTATTATTAACAATATTACAAACACTTTCACTTTCAATCTCTTACCAATATGATACATTGAATCCATCAGTTTCTAGCTGTGCGTCAGAGAAGAAATACAACAGGACATGAGGTGAATCAAACAATAATATGACTTCATTTGGTGACACGTAAGTCACATCCCCTGAGCCATAAATAGAGCCACTCCCATCATCAATGCCAGCGTCAGACCGAAGCACCTCCCCTCTACATGTAAAGGAACATGTGATCATGTGACCAATATGGTTGTTATGGTAACGTACGAGTATGCTCCGAGTTTCGGACTGTAAATGGAGTCGCCGTTGAAAATGTGAAGATAATCCCAGAGACACTCAGTTAGGAAATAATTGAACTTGAGCCTAATGTATGACCTTCTGGTACTAAAGGAAGAGAGAGGGAGAGAGAGAGGAAGGGAAAATAAGAGGAAATGAAAAATGGGCATATACTTGTTGGTTTCCAAGAACCATGAGCAATTGGTATTGCGTTGATACGGATTAGCTGTAGCAATGACTCCTTCTGTCACATTTGATAATCTAAAACAAACAAAACACACACACATAAATAATATACACACATTATTATACTGATAAGATGCTCTCAATTTAACATACACACTAGGGCCCTACCTTATCCTGGATACTCCTTGTACAGAGCCCCATAGATAGACTAATACTATGAGAAAGGAGAGGAGCAGCGGCCCCTTACTCCTTAACATCCTTCAGAATAAGCTGTAGCTCTCTTTCCTTTCCTTTTCTCTCTTCGCTGGCTGCTGTTTATGCCCAAGTCATGTATTTCAATATTACTGAACAATACAGATAATTAGAACCATAACTGGTTTAATACGGTAGTAATGATAGGCGGGAAAATTTAAATTTAAATTTGTGATACATTACTGTAGATGTTGTGATGTTATTCCTATAAATAAATGGATATATAAATGCAATGTATAATATACAATTCAAAGTGATACATAAGTTAATGATATTCATTGGTTAAACAATTAATATTATTATTAGGTCTCTCTCTTCAGCCGTTTTGATTTTGGGGCAGCACTTCCTCCACAATCGCTGTCTTCCCCTCCTCCATTTTCCTCTACTTCCATCTCTTCTTCATCATCCTCAATATCTTCCTCCTAGTAATGAATACAGGAATACATTAATAATAATAATAATAATAATAATAATAATAATAATGAAACTCCTAGTGTTCACTGGATAGCTCTTCTACCTGTTGGTTCAGCAGTTCATTCAGCGTTGAGTCTTTAATTTGAAAATCTCTAGAGACACTTCTCTTGTACGAATCCATTAGCTTGTACTGTAAAGAGACAAGAATGAAAGCAAAGATATAATTATGTTCTTTATCTACTTTAGATTTCTTCCCCAGTTGTATCAGCTGTTTCTCGTAGTCCTCAATCCAATAAATCAGCTTTGGTATGCTTCTCTTCTCTCTCTTAACTTGAGCCTTCAAAAAAAAGAAACAATCAAAAGTTCATTTATTCCATTTCTCCTCTGGGCCTACCATTCCAACCACGGCCTTTCCTTTCCCTTTTCCTTTCTTGCCCTGAACTAGCTCCATGTTCTCTTGCTGTTTCCTCTACAGAATGACAAGAATAGCAGGTCATTCTTGTGGGCAAACTGTGGTTAAAATTTGTGGTCAAGGATTTACATAACCTGAAACTGGGGATGGATCCTGTGGTCTTTTAATCTCATGATACATCCCATACCACAAAAATAAAATATCAGAAATAACCCAAAGTATAAAAACTTGATGCATGTCTTTTACAATGTACTGTACATGTACATATTTTGGCCACAAGCTGTCATTACCTGCCAGTAGATAAGGAACAAGTATATCTTCTGGCTTAGTGTCAATGAGGCTCCAATGGCTTCAGCTGCTTTCACAAACTTTGGATGCAAAGTGGCTGTCTTTCCATACAACACTGCTTGCTAAGAGAGAGAGAGACAAAGATGAAATAAATGTAACAGATTAATACATAGCATTGTTACTTGTTTGACAGTCTCTGATAAAAGAGAATAGAACTTGACAAGATTCTAAAATACAAAGAGTAGCTCAAAAACCACACACACTTAGAATTATAATGTACAGCAATACCTTAACTAGTGTATCTGAGGGAGGGCCAGGAGGAATGGCTGACTGAGATAGCTCAGTAAAGACTATTGCCAACCTGTGGAGTCTGTCACAAAACTGACCCAATATATCCTCTATTGTACCAATGGAGTCTGAGACTGCAGCATGAAGAGATTGAAGGGAATTCAACACAAAGAATATATAAGTGTTAGAAGAAACAAATTAACAGTACTGTACCATCATTCTTAAGCTCCAGTTTAAGGACATTCAGTATATTCTCACAATTAACCAGTATGAAATCAAGGTGATTCTGGAATGAAGTCTAATAAGGGACAAGGATCACATGATAATCACACGACGGTCACATGACTCACCAGGATAGGACCACGAACATTCTCAGTGTTGATTATCATGTAAACCCTAGTCCCTGATAACTCAACATCCTACATAATAATAACACTATACATATTAATGTTAGTAAATAGTATCAAACTCACCTCTTCAATATCTCCAGTGATGAAGTGTATATCTGGTGCTATCTTACAAAGCTGCTCAAATAAAGAAAGGACATTAGAAAAGTGCTTAAACAGATTTAGGACAAACGTTTTTGATGCTTTTATTGATTCTGTGCTGAAGAGAAAGGAGAAATGAGAAAAGGCTTTTAGTGACAGTCTGATCATCTAAAAGTGTTAAAATAATAATAATAATTACTAATAATAGTTTTAATAATAATAATAATAATAATAACCTATATTGTTCTGACGACATAAATCATCTAACCATTCGAAAACTTGTAAACACTAGAAAAGGTTACTTAAGATAATGACCATTACTACTACAGTCTGTACTGTATAATATGCACTGGTATGATCCTAATACTAACTTGAGATGATTTCCTATCTAAATGATCAGTCAATGAAGATATAACTGACACCATAAAAACTACATCTTTGACAACATAAACTCCTCTACTAGATCCTGTACCTCTACCACCAGACACAATGACAGATGCTACCAGTTGCTGCAAGGAAGAAGAGAGAGGGAGAGAGAGAGAGAGAGGGTATGTAATAATTGTGTAGTGCAGTGTTTGATGCTTGCCTGAATATGGCGTATGACAATATGCAGCTGCTCATCATCGTTAGTGTCGTCTCCTTCATTAGCTCCTCCTCCTCCTCCTCTGGTTATTTCTCTTGCAAAGGAGATGAGGTTGTCCTTGTAACATGTGATAATCACGTGACATATTTCGGAGAAACACTCCAGGCAGAGAGAAGCAATACTTTTACCCTAAAAGAGAGAAAGAGAGAGAATATGAGAGACTGACATAAGAGAGATTGAACTTAGGCAACACAAATTAGGAGAGTTTGATCACTAACTTTGTCCTTTTTCTTTCCAGCTTGTTGCTGTATTGAGGGACACTCCAACTGACTATACAGGATTCTAAAACAAGACAAACAGGTTATGCAATATGAATATAAGAAGAAGAGAAGCTTACTTTGCAATGGAAACCAGAAACTGATAGTTCTTGATTGAGCTATTGTCATGTCTTGTGCCCCAACACCATGGGGTGGCTTCATTGGGTGACTGTATGGGGAGAGAATTTTAAAATAAACAAACATAATTATTATGGACACACAAAAATACCATTTACATGTACATTGTGTATAATTATTAATCACCATTTTAATATTGAGGAGTGTAGCATTGAGAATGTATTGTACAAAATTAGTTGATTCCCTCAGTAATGTGAGTGGGGCTTGGTGGGCTGGCAATGTATCTCTACACAAGTAGAATAACAATTATACATAAATAAACAGTAATAATAATATTCTGTCATTTTTTGGCTATTTTCCTAACCGGAAGAGTGATTTTAAGAACAGTAAGGTGGTTGATGATGATAGCAGTCTCCTTCTCATGAGGTTCTTCTTACCAGCAGAACCACCTTTCTCTGTCAGTACATCAAGGACCGACTGGTACTTGACAAATAAATCGAGCAACAGGTTACAGGAAGCATCACTGAGAAGGAGAGAAAGAACCTTCTTTATCATAAGACAGATATACATGTACTTACCTGACTCCTTCAATACTAAAAGTATAATCCAGTGCTACCTATTCATGTACATGTACATATCATTGTAATTAAAGGGTACACATGATGAAACTGTATTGATCAATATACCTCATATATTTCTAGTAGCAGAGCAGCTGTTAAATGATTCTTGGAGCCAACACTAGTAGTCATTAGGTAATCTCCCGATTTATCCTAATTAATGCACACACGTAACAAACGTTTTTAAAGTGACACTGACTAGTTCAAAATCATCAAGATCACATGTGGAGAGACGTCTTGAGATTGATCGCAAGATTTTCTTTAATCTCTCGAGATGACTGACTTGCTCCACCCCCTTCTCCTCCCATTCAATGGACCTAAAAGTGATTTCATAATAACAATCAATATAAAATATAATCTTGCTCTTCAATTCCCTCTCTTACTGTTTAGTACAGAGCTGCAAGCAGTTCAATAAGTCTGACAATGGCTCCCTTTTGATGTAAGAGTCACTGCTCTCATTCCTTGCCACACAGGAGGAGAGTTTGAGTGGTGGGAGTAGATCTTCATCATCTTCATAATAATACTTAGTGAAGTGATCCAGGAGGAGGTCCAGTATGTGTCCTGAGAGCTTTGCATTAGAACTGAATGTGCTTGACAATGACTAGTGAACAGCGAAGAGGAGAATAGATTGTACATAACTGTATTATTATGTAGAGTGATTTATTGGAAGCAACAAAATTCATTGTAAAATCTTTCACAAATTAAACAAATAAAGATACATATTGTATGATAAAAATATGTGCAATGTACATGTATATATGTATAATTAATTAATATACCTCATATAAAGTCAGTCTGACAGGTTCTTGATGAGTAAAGCTACGTCTTAACATACCTACAGTACAATACAGTGATGATTAGTCCAGTACATGTCATGTGTGTGTTAATATCTTACTGAGTATCTCTAGACATATTGATTCATTTGATGACCTTCCCCCACTGCTTGTATGGACCTCAACTAGCGTCTGTACAAGGTCACATGACAGTCACATGATCTGTATGCTAACCTGTGATTGTGATGAATAGGAGAAGTCATCTTGACTTCCTGCTGAATCAAGAACCTATATGTGGGGAGAATCCTTAGTATTTTGAGTAACTTTAAAAATTCATAAAAAATCTACACTTGATCGGAATTAGCTCAAACTTTCTATGCAACATAAGAACATGTATATGTATCAGAAAAAATTATAAAAATGGAGAATTCTCTACTTTTCATTTTTGGCGAAATTTGGCCCGAGACCATGTACTATAGTACAGGGACTTTGGCCCGATTTTTGAGCAACTTTAAAAATTTGTAAAAAATCCAAACTTGATCGGAATTAGCTCAAACTTGAAACATAACATAAGAACATGTATATGCATCAAGAAAGAATATAAAAATGAAGATTTCTCTCCTTTTTATTTTTGAAATTTGGCCAAAGCCCATGTACAAATTTTTGACAAAATAACAATCCAAAATAAGAGATTTATTATTTACTTTAAAGTTTTTTGCCAGTAGTAGTGAGCAGCCAACTGCAGCACATCTGGCCTCTATCTCCCTATAATATAAAACACATCAATCAGCAATAGCAGCTGCTGCAAGAGGAACAAGTAACTGACTTGGAGAATAATGACTTCCTTAAAGTCAATAGAAGAGAATCTCTGTAAGAAGCACGGAACTGAACTAATGGCTATAACAGAAAGAGGGAGAGAGAGATAAAGGAAGAAGTCAAAATAGAATGAAAGCATAAGATATGGTAATTAGTAGTTTTAGTGTACCAGAATAGCTTTTATCAAAGATATAGCAGAAGATGAAGGAATACACATTATATAAGTGAATACTTCCTTGAGCTGTAAAAGAGAAGAAAAGACTTCAAAATATTCATCTCCTTCTTTTTATTATAAATTATTAAAGGAATGAGAAGTACCTGAGGCCCTATGTCAAGTAATACTTGAGGGGAAGACCGAGTCATTTCTGCTAATATACCTATAATGTGATCATCATGTGATCATCATGTGATTATCATGTGATATGAGGTGATGCTCACTGATGTAATGTCCAGCATACACAGTTGAACTGGTCAGAATCCTGTTGGTCAGTTGAGTGAGGACTTCTGATCTCACAAAAGATTGAGACTGTACAGAATATATACATGTACATGAATGTATATGCACACAAAAAATAAAAGAAAAGTTAATAAATAATACATGTATACATGTATATGTACCTTGAATGCTTTAATGAGGATATTACCTCCTAATATACAAGCTTTCATTTGTGGAGTGTTTTGATAAGAAGCTATAAATATAATTATTACAACTTATGCTAGCATAAAGGTCTATTCATACCAGCACTGTTCTTTGGTGAGAATGAGTCAAAAATGGAAAATGAAAGATTAATCAAACCTTGCATTACAAGATCCCAACCGTTAACACTGTGGAGAGAGAGAGGAGGGAGGGATATTGGGGAAAGGTTGTAAGTATGAGGTAAACCAGTACAATAAACCAGTCAAACCTGTTTTCAACAATACGCAAGAATATCTCATCAATATCAGGTACAGCTCTATGCTCAGATAATTCTAAAAATATACATACATTAAAAAATACAAACTAGCTAAGACAAGTGTACATGAACATTTACCAAGCATCCAGTAAGAGTTTGTAATGTTCTCCTTCTCTTTAAAGCACCTCACAATGATTGCCTTTAAATTGTCCATTACCTACAGGAATTAGTCCAGCAAAGAATGGACATATTTTAAAAACACTACACCTAATAGTATCTTACAGTATCTCCTAATCCTATTATGTTGCTCTGAGAGAGAGCCAGGGACAGTATAAATGGGGTATAATTTGAAGGATAAAACAATGATGATGACACCTATATATATATATATATATATTCATCCATAACATTTCTATAACATATACAAATTCAGGTTTACTTTTAATAGCTTCCAAAACTCCTTTGATAGTTCCTAAACATGCACATAATCACATACATTGTACATGATGAATTCATTTAAAGTATAATATGCTCTTAAGTACTTGTACATACCTGATTCTGTTTAAGTGCAAAGTCAGCATGAAGCAAAGCAGTCCCTTCACTTCTCAATACTTCAGCTTGACTAGTACCAGCCTCCATTAAACTAAAAGAGAGAGAGAGAAAGAAGAAGAGTACATGTACATGTAGATATCCATCTACATCTTATACATGCACATACTTACTCAATTTCACCTCCTCCATTTTGATCTGTATTTTCATCGTTTTCCTTGTCAGTCCGGTTAAACAGGTCCTTGATACCAGTTAGTACGAGGGAGTACTGTCCAATCTTAGCTACCAATAATAACTGGTGGATTAATGGAGGGAGTTCTTGAACTGGCAACGTCTTCATTACTCTATTTAAAGAGCACATATCCCATTAAAATGCTGAAATTCCAAACCTTAACAACTTCTCAATGAGGAACTGTAGCTCTTCAGACTCTAATGGGGCATCCCTGTAATTATACAGTAATTAAAGATATAGCAGTGTGACATTTAATGACTGACCTACTGACATTAACTACCTGCAGAACACAAGAAGGGGACCACCTAATGGAAGGAAAGATGATGACACATTAACATGATGACACACTTCATAAGTACAGTACTTGCAAGAGAAGAAAGAATTGACCAAGTGACATTTCCAATCACGCCCACTCATTGTAGCATTGGCACCTCCTAAAGGAGAGAGAGAGGAGGAAGAAGATCCAGTACAGTATATAATAATAAAACACTCCATGCCTTGTTGCTGTGCAGTTATAGTGGACTTCTGATTCAAAATGGCCGACAATATCTTAGGAAATAACTCGATGCTCCTAACACACACACACACACACATAAAGATGCACATTATGTACATGAACTGTCATTACACATGCAATACCTTCCATTGGATACAGTTCCATCTTTGATTCCTTCAATAAACGAATGGGACAATTCAATAAGACTGCTACCTTGTAGTTTGTCCACCTATGAATGGAGTCAATGGACATATTGTGTACATGTACTTCTTTCACATACCTCAGGTAGTAACAGTCCAATCAACTCTCTACCTTTCTAAAAATTAAAGAAAAAAATCATTCCAATTAGTTTTAAATTGTCACTCACAGAATTGATTAATTCGTCGCCGTTTAGCTGATTAATTGAGAATACAAATATTTCCTTTAATATATCATCATTCCCCTCTTTTAAATCTTACGGAAAAGACTAACAATAATAATTATAATTCATAATGTACACTAACTTTTCAATATTGTCCTTATTGGTTTGATAATGTCCCACTTCTCATTTGCAGCTGCATCAAGCTGCCTTTTCACCTATGAGGATTTAAAATAGTTACATAGAATGAACTGGTACCTCTGCTAATGATAGAGGAGGACGCTGTGAATGTCTTCTTTGTGAAGATTGACTCCTAAAACTTGAATCCATCACCAGTCACCACGTGGGCCCGCCTTTTAGGCTTGGTTCCGAATCAAACCACGCCTTGTAATTTCCTTGTTATTTTGTCGCTGCTCAAAGATGATAATAGCACTCTTGTTTCTTCTGCTATTGCAGTCTTGTTTTCTTTCCACCTATTCTCAGCAAGTGCTATGTGTTGTTCACCAAGATGGTGTTCCTAACGTCACTAAATCATACTACAATTGCTCCTTGTTCGCAAATAATCTCAGCTCTGCTCTCCAAGATGTGAGTGATGATACAGTACTCATGCTTCTCAATGACGAAGAGATAATAGACTCAATCATTGAGTTTGCCAATATATCCGGCCTTAGTTTATTTGGAATGAATGGAACAAATATAGTTTGTAGCCAACAGATTGTTAAGTATGGACTGAAATTCATTAATGTAACAAACATACGCATATCTGAAGTGACTATCATCAACTGTGGAGCATTATACCATTACGAATCAAACGTGACACATCAAGGTGTTTTTAGTTATCATTCCTCGTCTGCTGTTTACTTTGAAAATTGCACCAACATTAGGATAAATCACATTAATGTCAGTAACAGTCACGGCACTGGTCTAACACTCTATGACAGCAATGGCAATGTCAGCATTGCTCACTCCACTTTCACCAACAACACTGTCTCTCGGGTTGACCAGGAGCTATCGACTGGTCGTCTTCTTGGAGGAGGAGGTATATACTATGAGCTATCAATGTGTAGTCCTTCTTGGGATGTTTGTGACCCCAGCACTAATTTGTACAATAGTCATGCTTTACTCTATGTGCATAACTGCACCTTCTATAACAACTCTGTTACTACAGGGTCAAATAATGTTGAATTCTCTAAGTACATTGGTGCATAGGCGGCTGCAGGATTTGACTACTAGTCGGGCATGGGTGTGGCACAGGAAATGGGTTGGGCGCGCGAAGCGCGCCGTGATTTTGGCCACACCCTCTTTTACGCACCCTTTTTAGCACAATTTTTTGGTAGCGAAGGTTATTGTAATAAAGTAGTGGGTGGTGTAGCTCCAACACTGACTTCTGTAGTGGTAATAGTACTAGTAGTAGTATTAGTAGAGGAAGTAGAAGAATAGGGTGATGGAGAATGAGCAACAATTGACTGTACATCAGCTGTAGCTGTAAAAACTGTAGCTGTATCAACCACAAGAGTAGACTGAGACTCATGATCATCAACTCTCAGCAAGAAACTGACCTAAAGTAAGAATTATGAGATAATCTGTATTATTGACTTCTATACTGTACTTACTAGGTTCACTTCAGTTGTAAACTGTTGTTCCTTTTTAGCAGGCTTGTTCACAAAGGACATAGTGAAGCTAGTCCAGGCTTTTAGACATTGCAACTGACAAGAAAAGAACACTGAAATAGCACTAAATAATGAAATGATTATGCTTTCTAGTGTTGCTGTGGTGGCCCACTGTGATTGGCACCAAAGTCTTACCACCACGAGCTCCTCCTTTATTTAGTCTCTCTTCTTCACCTTGTTATCAGCCTGCCATTTATGCATTCATAATTATAAGATTTTCATAAAAAATTGAAATTATAATTGCAATAACTGTTATTAACTATTAATTAACCATAGAATAACTATTAATTATGGTGATGTCACACTTCCGGTCAGAATTTTTGGTCGGGCATTGCCCCTAAATGCCCGACCCTGCAGCCGCCTATGCATTGGTGGTGGCTTAATGGTATGGCTTTCTGGGCTTGCATATAATAATTCTATTTTCATAAGCAGCTGTTATTTTAGTGGGAATAGTGGGTTGTATGGAGGAGGATTATTTGTATTATGCAAAGACCAGTCTAGCAACAACACCATTGTCATCAGTAATTCTAAATTAGTACAAAACGAAGCAATACTGGGAGGAGGTGGATTGGATCTTGGCTTCTATTTCATTACAATGCACAATCGTTTCAATAGGATCACTGTACGATCCTGTACTATTGTTGACAACAAGGCTTATTTCGGAGGTGGGGTTGTTTTCTTTGTCACATCAGCTAGTCGAGTTGATCCTAATAATCAGATAGAGTTTTACGATACAGAATGGAACTCTAACAAAGCAACGTATGGTTCAGCCATTTATCTTGAGCCTATTTTTAACAATGTTCCAGCTAACACCATATTTCCAATCCCTCATTTTGCTAATTGTAGTTTTATTAATAATTACATTGTGTTCAATGTAACCGGTGATTCGTCATCCGGTGCTGGGATTTCTGCCATAGGTGCAGGGACGTTAAACTCAAAAGCAATTTCGTTCACATTAGCTGATGTAGTTACCTTTAGTGGAAACAATGGAACTGCTCTGTATCTCATTGACGGTAATGCTATTGCATTAGAAAACACAAAAGTTAATTTCTCAAGCAATACCGGTACATACGGTGGAGCTGTATCCATTAATGGTTTTGCTTCGATATACACAAGTAAGAACACAACGTTTATTTTCCATCATAATGAGGCATCTGTCAAAGGAGGAGCAATATTTTTTCATTCTACTGACATTCAGTCTTCACTTCTTATTGGATCTTCGTGCTTCGTAGAGCGAATAAGAACGCTGGACACATTTCAGACGAACTTTTATTTTGAAAATAACACAGATTCCTTTGGGAAAACAATGTACATATCATCACTACTACCTTGTAATAAGTTATGCCAAGGTACTCATGTTTACCTAACCTACATTCCACCGGAAACACTACTGAGTGAATGCATCGGTAACTTTACATTTGCTGATCACAAAGGCATAGTCAGAGACAATGTAGCAACTGAGACTAGTGAATTTCATCACTCTGCAGCAGGAAATGAAGAGGATATAGTCCCTGGCAAAGATTTTGTGATCCCTTTTGTCACTCGTGATGAACTGGGACATGAATCAATGGAGCCGTTGTTTGGTATATTAAAAACTGAAAATAATTCGCTTCAGCTTAATAACTTATTCACAGCTAACAATAAATTCCAATTGAAGGGAAAGCCTAACGAAACAGGTCATCTTGAAATAGGAACACTCTATTATCGTAATTTGACTATTGGCATTGATGTTACACTCTCTTCCTGTCCTCCTGGTTTCATTAACAATAACAACACTTGTGTTTGCTCTGCTGACGATGACAGTAATCACTACAATGGCATTGTAAGGTGTGATAATAAGGAATTCGTGGCATCACTTAGTTCTGGCTTCTGGATAGGCTATGTAGGCATTGAATCAGAAGATACCTTATACACTGGGCTATGTCCACAAGGATATTGCAATAGTAGTCAGATACTTGATATCAGACTGCCCTCCTTTCCATCATCCTCTGAATTGGACTCACTGATATGTGGTGCTAATAATCGCACTGGTGTTTTGTGTGGTAACTGTATAGAGAATAACTCTGTGTATTACAATTCACCTGGATACAAATGTGGCAACAATGAGCTTTGCTCCTATGGGCCTCTCTTTTATTTACTATCAAGCTTTATACCACTGACCCTAATGTTTACAATCATCATTTTGCTTGGTGTAAACTTTAGCTCTGGTAGGTGGAATGGATTTGTCTTCTTTGCACAAATTGTGGGATATTTTACAACAACTAATGGTGTCATCTATGCCTCAAAATCTGAGAAAGTTTTCAACATTATATCAGATTTATTTTACGAGCCATTCTCACTGAGGTTCTTTAATGATGACAGCCTCTCGTTTTGTCTGTTTAAAAATGGAAGTTTCTTTGCCATCATGGGAATGGAGATCCTCTCACTTTTCTTTGCTTTTCTCTTAGTGGTCACACTTGTGTTTGTGATGAAGTCTACCTATTTTTATAGGATGCAATCTGCTTGCTGCAAGAGACCATTCTTTAAGCCAACATCACTGACAAAGGCTCTGGCTACATTTTTAATACTCTGCTACTCTCAGACAACTCAAATTTGCTTTAAAATACTACAAATTGGATTCCTCCGCAGTAAAGGGGACAGTATTACATCTCCATTGCGTGTACAACAGATGGGAAGTCAAGAATATTTCACTGGTTTTCATATACCACTAGCCATTGTTGCAATATTAGGAATCTTAACAATTGTGACGATTACTCCAATCTGTCTCATGGCATATCCAGTGTTTTACAAATTATTGCCGCCGAAAGTGCAAGAAAATAAATTAATAGCAACAATAACAACGAACGTGGAGAAGTTGAAGCCAATTTTTGATGTATTTCAAGGTTGCTTTGATGACAAATATCGCTTCTTTGCAGGGCTGTACTTTCTTTATCGTGCTATTTTTGTCAGTTTGTTTTCACTGGTTGACATACCACTGGCTTCATTGTCAATTGCTCAAATCATAGTCATGATAATGTTAGCAGTTCATTTGAAGTTTCAGCCATACAGGAAGAAACTTCATAACAACATTGATGGGTGTCTGTTCCTCCTTCTTGGAATGATTAATACTCTTACACTAACTCGTTATTTCGAATCAATATCTCAGTCTCAGCGCAGTATCATGATATTGACAGGCTATATTCAAATTATCTTGGTCTACCTTCCTATTTTTATTGTTTTTATCCTCATTATTAGCTTGGCTATTCAAAAGTATCGCAGAAAAAAGAAGTTCAGCATTACTAAGCTGAGGAAAGCCTCTATGTCCAGCTCAAAATCAGATGAATCCCTCTCTCTTGAAATGGAAGGCCCTCCTAGTCCATTTGTAGCATCAACAAGCTATCTTGATATGGATATTATCAAGAATGCTCATAATGATGAAGATGATGGTGATGTAGGGAGCTTCAGAGAAGAACTTCAAGTTTTAGAACTTTAAACTTGAAGCAGTATTACATTAAAATGTTTGTGTGTGATTAAAACTGTTATTGGTTGATGTATTCCTTTGTTTTAGATGATTTATGAATCTAGTAGACAAGCCTTGGTATAACAGCACGTGATTCCACGTGATAGAACAGACACGGAGGAGAACAGTCTAGTAATCTTGATCTTATAAAAGTAGGCGGAGGCAAACCACGTGCTCACATCATGGGAAAGAAAAGACTAAAAGAAGTAAAGAAGAGGAGCAAATCCACTCAAGCTAAAGTTAATCCGTTTGAAGTGAGGATCAATAAGAGGAAATACAGTGTACTGGGTCAGAGGAGGGAAAAAGGAGAGAAGGGATTACCAGGAATATCAAGATCCCGTGCTTTAGAGAAGGTAAGCTACAGTTGCGTACGATATGGCAACCTTTAATTAGTATCTAATTTCTAATTTAACATTTTCAGTGATCCTAATATAACGTACATTGTTGCACATACAGAGGAAGAAGACTCTGCTAAGAGACTATCAGGAGAGAGATAAGACAAACCAGCTGCTGGATAGGAGGTTTGGAACTGATGACGTCCCAGAAGAAGAGCGAGAATTGCAACGATTCTTACTTGAGACCAAAGTGAGAACAACTCCACTTATTAATTTAGAAAGATATGATAGTATTCCTTATTGATTATTTTAGAGGAGACACAAGCGTGGTAGTATATTTAATCTTGAAGAGGATGAAGAGGAAGGGTTGACTCATTATGGGCAATCATTAGGAGATCATGTGAACGATATTGTGTTTGATGATGAGGAGCAACTTGATGAATGTAAGACTTTCTTATAATCCTCTCACTCTCTCTTTCTTTCTCCTTTTCTTCACAGTTGATGCTACTGAGAATCATTTTGGTGGTTTTTTGAAAAAGAAAGACACTCAGCAACCAACAGATGGCAATGTGAGAGATTAGATTAATAATAATAATGAGGTATTGCTCCACCTGTATGGTAGGAGGAGTCTGGTAGAACAAGGAAGCAGATAATGAGAGAAGTGGCTGCCAAATCAAAACTACACAAAGTGAGATATGCACATTAACATGTATGTATGAGTACATGTTCATGGCATCCTCCTTTAGTATGAGAGACAAGTTGAGAGAGAAAAGGTTGAAGATATGCTTGATCAACTTAATTCTGATTGGAATGACATCAGATCACTTCTGAATCACTCATCAAAAGCTGTGAGTCAATATTATTATTATTATTAATTTATTACTATTGCTTTGCTTTATTAATTGCAGGCTCCACCCACCAGTGCTAACGAAGATGATTATGATAGATATTTAGTTGAGTTGTCAAGGGAACCAAGAGGACAGGTGGGTGTGTCAGAAACCACCGATATTATACTGTATCTTCTTTATATGTACATGTACACTTGTAGGCTAAGGACCGTCTCAAAACTGATGAAGAACTGGCTCAAGAAGAGAAAGTCCGTCTGGAGAGATTAGAACAAGAACGACTCAAGCGCATGAGTGGAGCTGCCTCCATAACACAGGAGCACCAACACATTAGTGCTGATGATGATACCAGGTGGGAGTCATACTGTTTGAAATGGCCTCATAAGAAGCCTATTTTATCATGTGCATGTACTTTCAGGGCTATGGCTAAAGAAGACGATCGTGTCATGTTGCAGTATGATGATGGACAACTTGTTTTACCAAAAGGAATGACCAGCTTACTACCAGATAGGGAGGAGGAAGAAGATATAGAAGAGGAGGAGGAGGAGGAGGAGGGAGAAGATGAAAGTGAAGATGATGAGGTACAGTGATGTAGAAAGTATGCATAGAGTTCATAATACTAGTACTGACTGACTGACTGTGTGTATGATTGTAGTGATACCTAATCTTCATTAGGAGGAGGAGGAGGAAGAGGGAGAGGGAGAAGGTAGCAATGAGGAGTTTGATGAAGATGAACAAGAAAACGAGAACAATGACATTGATAGTCTGGGAGAAGAAGAAGAGGATCCTATGAATGATGGTGATTAATAAACTACACTTGTAATATTATTGTTGTTGTTGTTGTTGTTAGTTTCTGATGATATGAAGGACCCAGTCTCATCTAATAATGATATACCATTTGCATTTAAAAGTATGTACAATGTATATGTGTGCATGTATTTCTGATCATCATTGTGTGTGTGTGTAGATGTTCCTTCAAAAGTATCAGAATTAGTGTCACTACTGCAGGACAGGTAGGATATTGTAGCTATTATGGGGAAGGAAGTTTTGACTTATTTTATAACAGGACTCCATCAGAGTGTGGTACTATAGTACAACGAATCATTAGTTGTCATCATCATGTACTATCAATGGAGAATAAAGACAGAATGAAGGTAAGCTAATAATGTTATACTGAGTAACATAATGTACTGTTTGATGCTGCAGTCATTTCTGAGGGTGTTACTGGAGTATTGTCTTCACCATACAAGACACAATCCACTGATACTGAATGAACTTGTACAGTAAGAGTTATGAGAATGAATGAAGCTCTTATTTATAATGTACTTGTAGCCATTTTTACTGCTATTGTTACTAGAATTTTAGTGCTATTTTTCACTATTTTCATTAACTAACAGGTACATTTATGAATTAGCCAAGATTGATACTAAGTACACAGTGAAGTCCTTTCAGCGTCAACTGAAGTTATGCTATAAGCAGCATTGTACAGCCAACTTCCCTTCACTCTCTGATGTAAGTATAGGGCCATGTGTGTCATTCATATAACTGTCTTTCAATTTTAGATAATTTTATTTAAATTGATAGCAGCTGTGTTTCCCACGTCAGACTATCAGCACCCAGTAGTCACCCCCTCACTTCATCTAATGTGTACATCACTGACAAAGGTACTGCTCATTCAGTCTTGTTGATTTTATGTCTTTTTATAGACAACAGTGTGTAATACCATTGGGAATGTTATTGGTAGTATCTGCCTGTGTAAACTGATACTGGAGGTAAGTTATGTGTATCTAATATAATTTTGATTTTAATTCTTTGTACTGCAGTATGTTTCTGTGTCCAAGAGGTACATACCTGAACTAGCAAACTATCTCTGTAACTTACTTTTATGTTTTTCATCAGAAAATGGTGAGTCATTTCAGAAAATGTTGTCAAAAGCTACTGTAATGTATCCACACACACAATGCATTTACCACTTTTACTGTAGTTGTACCACTGACTCATCCCTTCAGTGTTAAACTGAAGGAATCTCTATCTTTGTATTCATATTCTAAAGAAGAGGAAGGTATTGATATATTAAAGTAAGGGTCCAAGTTTATAGGTATTAGCCGTTTTTATTTTATCTGATAGTGCGGAGTTGCTACGTTATAGAAGTATTGATGAATTATCATTGGATCAAGTGAAGTAAGGACCTAGCCATCTAAATGGATAAAATTTTCACAATTTTGGCATTTTCTTTAAAATGGCCGTAACTTGAAAAATTGAAGTCGGAATCAGCTCAAATTTTCTACACAGCATAAGGACATCAATATGTATCAGAAAATGTAATAAAAATTGGAGGTGATTTCGGAGCCATTTTTTAGAAAAACCATGGGCTATAGCCTTGGGTACTTTTCAGAATTTTGGCACTTTTTAAAATGGCTGTAACTTGAAAAATTGAAGTTGGAATCAGCTCAAACTTTCTACACAGCATAAGAACATCAATATGTATCAGAAAATGTAATAAAAATTGGAGGTGATTTCGGAGCCACTTTTCGGGAAAAACCATGGGCTATAGCCTTGGGTACTTTTCAGAATTTTGGCATTTTCTTAAAATGGCTGTAACTTGAAAAATTGAAGTTGGAATCAGCTCAAACTTTCTACACAGCATAAGAACATCAATATGTATCAGAAAATGTAATAAAAATTGGAGGTGATTTCGGAGCCACTTTTCGGGAAAAACCATGGGCTATAGCCTTGGGTACTTTTCAGAATTTTGGCATTTTCTTAAAATGGCTGTAACTTGAAAAATTGAAGTTGGAATCAGCTCAAACTTTCTATACAGCATAAGAACATCAATATGTATCAGAAAATTTAATAAAAATTGGAGGTGATTTTGGAGCCATTTTTTGGAAAAAACCATGGGCTATAGCCTTGGGTACTTTTCAGAATTTTGGCATTTTTTAAAAGTGGCCGTAACTTGAAAAATTGAAGTCATTTGAGCAGATTCCAATCAACTTTGGATTTTTAATAGATTATCACTGCTAAAGTTAACACTGGAGTGTCTGAACACAGTAAGTCAGTATTGGTATAACAGTCCATCATTTGATGCCATTTTTCAAACAACTCTGAACACTATCAAAAGGTTAGCAAGTCTCTATATACTTTGCTTGTGAATTTTGCCTTTGTCATGTAGTTTGGATGTTCCCAAGTCACTAAAGGTAAGAAATAAAAATGCAAGAAATAATTTTAAAATATTAATTCTTCAGTCACTCCTTGAACAAGTTCAAGCATCAATAGAATCAGGGATCAGTCGTCCTAAGCCAATCCTTCAAGTCTGTTCCTCTGATTGTTGTCATTATAATAAAGTCTTTGGTAGGTTTTAAGGCGTAAGCCGAAATCTGTCAAGTTCTTTGAACCACAGTTTGATAATGAGTAAGTAATGTATATACATGTACGGCTAATAATTTCTTATAATTACAATTGACTTGCTACAGTTCTTCTGTGAGTTTATTAAGTGTATTTTCGTAGCTATCAGCCGGGAAGGAGGAAAGCTCCGAACAAGACTCAAGGAGAAATGATGAAACTAAAACACAAACACAAAAGAGAACTGAAGGTATTATTATCTTGACATTCATAGCTAAGTGTATTGGTTATCATTCCAGGGTGCTATTAGAGAGATACGTAAAGATACAAAGTTCTTAGCACGTCAAAAACTTAAAGAACAGCTGACAAGGTAATTTATAATGTCAGTAGTCTGTGATGCAAAGGACTTCTCCATCATTAGTGATACCCCTAATGATGCTCACTGTATTGTATTGTTGGTACTGTGTCTACACAGTAAGTATTGTATCTTTATTTATGTTGCAGAGATGGTGAGCGTAAGAGAAAGGTGAAGCAGATTGAAGGATGGCTACAGGAACAGCAACACGACATGAAAATGGAGAAAATAAGAAAAAGGAAATGATTGCTAAAGTATTTTAAGTCAATTTGCATGTAAAGAGAACAAAACTATAACCTTTTCTATGTTGCATGCATGTCCATTGTATAATGTGGAGTGGACATGTGGGATGATTGTTCACACTATTATCAGAATTTTATATAAAATAACATTAAACAAAGACAATATCAGCTGCAAAAAACAAGTCTATTATTCAACCACACAATTAAAGATAAATAATCTAATAATCTTAAAGAGTTTCGGTCACAATTAGCATAGTTTTAGGCATTATTTTGGCATTGTAGATCCAATGGGGCCATACTTGATGTTAGAGTAAGTCACACTGGCGTCAGGGTACTTACTCTCAACATCAGAAGGTTTACCGGAACTAGTGGGGCAGGTTCCCCTAGCTACACCTGGTGCTGATGGAGACTTGTCGAGAGGGTAATCGGAATCAAGCCAGAGCATGTTGACAGCGTGATCGTCCCAAAGACTCATGACTAGGACCATACCCTGATCCAGCACTTCACTTAGCTTCTTATGACCACCTCTCTTCTCATAATCATTGCTATCACCAAATGCAGTTTTTTGTGTATTACAGAAATCGTCTGTCACTGAGTTAAAAGTCTTCCCGCCAACTGTTACATTCCTACTCATGATAACTTTACCATTTTGTATCCATTGTCTGCGTATCTCTGAGAGGACTCCATTATCTGTGTTGTCATTTGTAACAAATTGTGTTACCACCGTGAACACTTGAGTCGTGTCGATGGTAAAGTTTGATCCAGGACCAAAGAAGGTGTGGTCTCCCAAACGATACGGATTGAAGTCACAGCCATCTTTATCACAGACGCCATCATGTCGTTGTCCCTTAGAGTCATCACCACAGTCTTTCCCTTCACACCGTCTCTGTCCATTGACAGTGCAGACGTGAGCTGTGTAAGCGGTTGAGATTGAGTTTGATTCCCAAATATCCATTTCCGTGCAGCAGGTCCCATACTTACCAGTTCCACTGTTAGGATCGTTTGGGCTTGAGTCCCAGTCCTCACAATTTGCTTCTCCATTGATAAACTTGAGGTCATGTGGACACTGAGCGTCACAGTATCCTGTTCCATACTTGGCTCCAGCTTTATTGGTAGGGAATCGACTGGTCCCTCCATCAGCGTCCATCTCAACAAAGTACAGTGCACCATTGAGACCACAGGGTAGCTTAGAGACATCAACGTCAAAGGAGAACTCTGCATTCTTCAGTTTGAACATTTTATATTCTGAATCAGACTCCAATAGATAGAGCCTGGAGCCTATGTTGCTGGAATAAGGACCGTGGGTGACAAAGTTCAGCTTTAGAGATGAGCCAGAAGAGAATACACCATATGTTCCTTGATAGTCAGCACCATCCAGTGCACAGTTCTTAGCACATGTAACTCCATCTGGACAGAGGCTGGTGTCCCATTTGTTTCCTGTGTAGCAGTTCTGTGTTCCAGAGACTATGTGGGTCCACCTCCAGTTGGAGTCAAGGACAATGCTAGCTTGCTGTGTCTGGCATTGTCCTGGTGAAGTGCAGGACTGTATTGATAGTGGAGGATGGTTTTCTGGGGCATTGGTACCAATCTGTTGCCCTAGAGCATACCCCAATAGGGCAAAGAGTACTAGAGTCACAATCTTCATTTTTAAGACAAAAATAAGAGCCAAGTTTAGCTCTACCTGGTCTTATATGGAATTTGCTAGATATGCATGCATGCTCATGATAAGCTTATTCAGCATGATGTAACAGTATATTTATGAATATCATAAGCTGCTTAAAACTTTTTCCTTTTGCCTTATGTGGAATAGATTGACTAAATGATCAGTACTTGCATAATGATTATTGGCCTCGCATGTAATGCCACACCTTTCAATCTACATGCATGGGAGGGGCTGGAGCTGCTTGCAAGTATGTGCTGCAGTGCTGCTACTTCTGCAGGTATTCAAGAGCAAGTACATGTAACTGCAGGAAGCTAGTGTTGAGCAGACTCTCTTCATGCTGATAATCAAACAGCTATTGCAGTGCGGGCATGCACCATAGCAGCATAAGGGCGAGGCCATGTACCGTAGGTGTCTCATTAAAAACAGTTTCAGACAATTATATATATCAGCTTATATAGATTTAGGGTCTAAAAACTTATTAACTGAGGTATAAACAGTAGATATGCAGCAAATATTAATGTTAAGTTTGTTCATACATGATCACTTTACATATATCTCATAGAAACCAACAGGTGTGTCTTCATTGGCAGTATTCTCATCACCACAGATCCTCAACTCAATATAGTCATAGGTAGTATTAGCACCATAGTCTCTGTGAAACCATGGTAGACCTGATGCAGCACAACAAGTTCCTTCATTAGAGCCACAGCCTTGACCATCCCAAAGTGGATCAGATGGATAGAAAAGCCCAGAGTGACCAGGATTACCAGACTCACAAAAATAATTGTTTCCAACAAAAGACTGGAGCTGCTGATTGCTACCAGGGGGACTCGCACAAGGACAATTATTGTCATTGTAACCATTATCAGTAATTCCAGCTATTAGTGTCCAGACATGTTGACGAGGAGACCCACGAGTGATACTAACACCATCAACATAATCAGCATTAAGGTTATTGTGATTGGGGCCATTGTGAATACTTACTGCATCTGGTGAATTGTATTGATATCCTGTTACTCTACCACAGATTTGAGAGTAACTGATACCATTAGATGGAAACTGAATTGATGCAGTACAGCCAGCACCACCACTTGGTCTACCACAAGCTCTAACTCCTCCTGACTGGTACAGTCTAAACCCAGAAGGACAATTCTGTGTAGCATCTGACATATCCAGATATGCTAGTCTTGTCCATCCTCCTCCAGAACCACACAACTGTCCCATGTGGCAATACGTATAAATAGGAGCTCCTCCGGTTGGAGGTGCAGTAAGATACACACCTGATGGACTGTTTGGCTGTTGACTCTTAATCTCTGCACATGATGATGGTAAAGCAGTTGAGTCATTGTGCAGCACCAATAGCTCTTCAACTACTAGTAATATGCTATCAGCCACACCAGATGCAGCACTGCATGTGTCTTTTACATTAGAGAGGGTGTTGACAATGTTCATTAACATTTGAACAGAATCTCCAGTTGTTTTTAGTATCGTCTCTGTGAGGTTTCTCTGGTCATTGTCATTGGCAATTGAGATTGTTGTCTTGTTAAGAATTTCGTTCATCTTAGTCTGTAGTAGCTGTATTTCAGCTCTCATTTTAGCATCATTTAGCGCAACTTGCTCTTGTAGCTGCTCTGTCTTATTAATGACCATTAGTGAACCGTATCCTGTATTGCAGCTAACATTGGCCATAGTGTAATTGCTTCCTATGGCAGTTGCAGTATCATAAGGCGAGACTACAGTGGCACTTGTGTTGCATGTTGGTAGCTGGATTAGTGTCACCATTGTTATTCCAAGAATAATACCAAGCATAAGGAATATCAGGAGAAGTACAAGAACTATTATCACTACCAAGCAGATACCAATTCTTCCAAGGATGTAAGCTGCTGGATTTTGCTGTGCTGTTGCATCTGGATAAGGTTTTATTGGTAAAAATCCTTTCTTGTCGTCATAATCCTGCAATTCAGTGGTCACTTCGTATGTATCATCCATTATTGTGACTTTTCCGTTGCTAAGCTACTTTTAGGGGATCATGCATAGATTATGAATATCCAATACTAAGCACATTCACATTGTAAGTGGGTTAGTATGATGAATAAGTCAAACTCCTTTCTTGTCATCACACCATTGTGTTTCTAAGGATATAATGTTGCTATTGTGGTTTATGAACCATGAATAAAATAAGATTATATACCACCCACCCATAACAAAGCTTGTAAAATCTCTTTATAATGTTAGCAGTTAGCATTTAAATTAGCAAAATAACTACATAGTGTACTGGCATAAAACAAAGTGTAGTTTGAAGTTATTTTTATTTAACATATATCTCATAGAAACCAACAGCTGTGTCTTCATTGGAAGTAACCTCATCTCCACAGACCCTCAACTCAATATAGTCATTAGTAGTGGTGCTACCATAGTCTCTGTGAAACCATGGTAGACCTGATGCAGCACAACAAATCCCTTCATTAGACCCACAGCCTTGACCATCCCAAAGTGGATCAGAGGTATGAAGGGTTGCTCCTGGAAAGCCACTAGCACCAGATTCACAAAAATAGTTGGTTCCAACGAATGATTGAACTTGTTGATAGCTGCCTGGAGGAGTGGCACAGGGGCAGTTATCAGGATAATATGTTGTGTCACTGAAACCATTCATAAATGTCCAAACGTGTTGACGAGGAGACCCACGAGTGAGGCTAACACCATCAACATAATCAGCATTAAGGTTATTGTGATTGGGGCCATTGTGAATACTCACTGCATCTGGTGTATAATACTGATATCCTGTTACTCTACCACAGATTTGAGAGTAACTGATACCATTAGATGGAAACTGAATTGATGCAGTACAGCCAGCACCACCACTTGGTCTACCACAAGCTCTAACTCCTCCTGTCTGGTACAGTCTAAACCCAGAAGGACAGTTCTGTGTAGCATCAGACATGTCCAGATATGCTAGTCTTGTCCATCCTCCTCCTGAACCACACAGCTCATCCATGTTACAATACGTATAAATAGCAGTTCCTCCATTTAAAGGTACAGTGAGATACACACCTGATGGACTGTTTGGTTCTTGTGATTTTATTTGTTGACAAGATGTAGGAAGTGCTCCTGTGTCATTATGAAGTACTAACAGTTCCTGTGCCACTAGCAGGATATCATCAACCACTCCAGCAGTAGAAGTACTGGTGTCATGATGATTAGAGAGTGTGTTTATTATATTCATTAGCTTCTGAGCAGAATCCCCAGTTGTTTTCAATAAAGTCTCAGTAATGTTAGTCTGCTCAATATCATTTTCAGTGCAAGCAGTTGTCTTGTTAAGTATTGCACGCATTTGAACTTGAACTTCATTCCTTATGACATCGCTAAGCTGACTAACTTGATTTCTTAAATCCTGATCATTTTGTGTCATCTCACGTAATAAGACATCGAACCCAGCACTGCAATTGCATTGAGTAGTAGAAGGTGTTGTACCAGAAGTAGGATCACTTCCAGTTATTCCAGGACTCTCTACAGCAGCATCACATGATGATATACTACTGACTTGGCTGAGTGTGGCTGTGGTTATTCCAAGAACAATGCCAAGTGCAAAGAATATCATCAGTGCCACTATGATTAGGAGACTTATTCCAAACTTTCCAAAGTTGTAGCTGGAACTAGATTGGTGGATCTTTATTGGAGTGTCATCAACTCTGTTATCTACAAACCCTTTCTTATCATCATAATCCTGCAGCTCATTCACTTCGTAGAGGTTATCCATTATTGCAGTTGCACCCTTTCTTTCTGTCGTTGCTGCAGTAACTGTTGTGCCAAGTAAGGCTAAGCTCTCCAGCCATGAATGCTTTTAGGTGAAGCTGAGGGGGCGGTGACTGGTGGGCGTGGTCTTATCAGAAAATACAAAATCACAGATGTCTGGTATATGGTCCTCAGAACTGGCCTCGAGGTTACCTGGTACTCCTGTCAGACTTCAAAGTGGAGTGGGAGCCATTTCTCCTGTTAAGGAAATCATACACGACCAGCCTAGATCAGGGGGGACAGCCTCTGTGACTAAGAAAAGAAATAAAACCACTTCTCCATTATGTAGTGAAATGGATCAGCATCTAACAGAACTAGATTTACTACTTGAACTGTTAGTATGAGAAGAGATGGTTTTATTGATATCTTTTGTTTGTAGTAAAATGTTATCAGAGGATCCTGTCCCTGGTGTCTTCCTATTACCATCAACTAAATCACTACTAGGTGAGAAATACTCCCCCTCTCTCGTGTTTTATTTCCTTCAGATTCTCTCGTGATCTTTTTCTGATACATATACATGTTCTTATGTTGTGTAGAAAGTTTGAACTGACTCCGATTGAAATTGGATTTTAAAAAAATTTTTAAAGTTGTTCAAAAATCAGGTCAAAGTCCCACAGGGACTTTTTGTCAAAATGGAACATTTTCTGATATCATGCACAAAGTTTGAGCTGACTCCAATCAAGTATTATATTCTATTATCATTTTATATTATTTTTAGAATGGCACGGTATTTTATTCCTACACAATGGCCCTTGGAAAGGAGGTATATTCAGATTCACACTGTACATTCCTGATGAGTAAGGACACAGACACACAACACATTACCTTTACTTGTAACAATCACTTTATTAGGTTCCCTCAAATGAGACCAATGATTAGATTCAAGTCAAACGTGTACCATCCTTACATTCACACACATAATGGGTAAGCTATTATAGCATGTACATGTACATCCTTATTATAAAAAGAATGCTTTATTATTTTAATATTCTAATACACATACACATACATACATTATTTAGAGCAATGAACATGTTACAAGTCCTGCCAAACTGGAAATCAAAGACACACCACATCAAGTACACTCTACAATAAAATCATTTTATTTATAATTTATTTATTTTTAGAGATGTCATCCTTGCGATGAGAGGCTGCTTCTTTCGGGATGAGTTTCTGTCAGCATCAAGTAAAGAGGAGGGGATTGCCATCAAAGAGAAGATCAGATCTTGTGTGGAGGACTCCAACAAACAATCACAACACAATGGAGGTACATGTACACTATTGATAGCTAATACCTTTAAATACTACTTGTTGTTGGGATGTGGATTGCTTTGTAGTTTTTTTTAATTTTAAATACATGCACAATACTTTCTAATGTCCTTTAATTTTTATGTACAGATCCTGAAAATGTTTTCAATTTTACTGACAATGAAACCATGATTACTAAAGCACGTCAGCTCCTTCATGAAGGGGTAGGTAATGATCGATACATCTTTATCATGATCTGTGTATAGGGACTACCTGAAGAAGACAAGGGGAACAGTACTGGTATATTGGACACTCTCTCTGCAACTGTCAGTCAGTTGTTTGACTTTGTGATTGGACAATGATCATGCTATACAGTCACCACATGATAATAATAATAGCTTTTAACTGGTTTTCATAATCAAACTCAAATCTATTTTAAATCAAATGAAAACAAACAAGGGTTATAGCTATTTTGTATAATTTATTTATTCATCAGGATCAACAGTTGGCAAATACTTTAAGTCCATTCTCCTAACAAGATCTTTTGGTGGATCTTTACCCCAACCTGAATGAAGTATCTTGCCATATTTAGAAAGATCAATATCACCAGATGCAACTTGAGATTTGAAGCTTTCAAGCTTGTCTTCATCGACCAAGACATAGTGCCATGCTTTTCTCCCTCTATCTTTGCCACGAACAAGATAAACAAAAGGCTTAGCATAAAATCTGTCGTTCCACGATGAGTTTATTTCACATGGTAAGTCTGCTTTGCTGCAACGAATCTCTCTAAAATCACCATAAATAGATGTTTGTCCTGATGACAATTTTTTGGAAAAATATTTTCCATTTCCCATGCCTTCTTTAGTATAAGCCATGAACGTTGATTCTTCATTCTCCTTACATGATGCAAATATTCTCAGTAAGATTCCATGCTCTCGTGTGTGATGCCCACAAGATGGTATGCCAATCTCATCCAGTTTCTTCACACAGTCCCTGATCCAGTTACCGGCATAACTACAATCAGAGATTACCGTTAGCCTTTTACCTCTCATGCAATCCATATAAAAACCAAAGATATCTTCAAAAGTAATCACTCCATCTTTAAAGCACCAGTTACCAGTGCCTTTCTCTCCATGACCAGTGTAGTGGAGCACAGCTATAGTGCAAATAAATTATTAAGCCATGTTAGATCTATATTAATACACTACTAACCTAACTCGGATTCTCTTTCTTGGCAGCTAACAAAAAACCGTTTTATCCTATCCATTTGCTCATCTCTGGATACTTGTACTCCAGTCCAATCTGGACAGACTTCTCGAAGTTGGATTATTTTATTTTTTCCATAAAAATCAATCAGAGATTCCAATTCTTTCCTTGCTAATATAGAGTTGCCACTGACAGAGTAAGCCATCTCATTATCTGTTTGCTTGGGGCAGACATCAATAGAAGGAGCTAGCTCACCTCCATAAGATGAAATGATTATTAAATCCACTACTGAAGCTTGTGACATGTCTCTCCAAGAAGTATCCTTTCTTAATGGTTTTTCTTGTATCTTTTCATCTTCTTTCTTCTCTGTTTGCTTTACTTCTTCATGTTGCTGCTGACTGGCGTGACCTTGTGTTAGCTCTGTTAGTATGAGTTCATTAACCTTCTGCAGTACATCTACATTGTAGTTGGCAATGCTGGTAGATATAGATGAGTTGATGTCTTCATATTGATCCATGATGTCAGAAACAAGTACTACTAGGTCAAGCAAGTCTGCCTTTCTCTTCAAATTCTTGGAAGTACCACAAGCAAAGTTCGCTGTTATTCATTAAGTGAATTGGGGTTGTTGTCATGCATACTGGAACATGAATACACTGCATGTTATTTCAGATGAAAAAATGAGAATATCCAATCAACAGTTATATGACTGTGCTAAAATTTGAAAGTAATTTAAATGCATACAATTTTTACAAAGATGCATATGCAGTCACATGTACAGTATACTTGAAATCAGTATGCTAATGCCTAGTACCTGTAAAAGAGCAATATCGGCACAATTAGAACAAAAAAGTAACAACTGAAAGATGAAAGAGTGCACAATGTAACAAACTATATTATCGTCATTTAGAGTCACTTTTGATGATCCATTTACCATCTTTCATTTCAACATGACTGTACTTAACCAAATTCCTCCATTTGTCGTATAGTTTTGTGTTAGTAGTATGAGTGGGAAATGAACTAGCTGATTCTAATTGTAAAATCTTCTTCCATTTTCCAACACCAAAAGTATTCACTCCATCAACTAGAGCAGCTACAGCATCATGACTCCAAATAATTCTAGATTTTCCCATTCCACTGTAATCAAACATAATAAATCATTGCCGCCATTTTCATGAATATTATACTGACAAACAGATTATCCACACAATATAAGATCTTTCTAGCTATTATATTTGAACTTACAATTTGTATGGTCTTGCTTGTCGTATCGTACTGGGTACAGATTTATTGACACCAGAGGAAGATGATGAAGACTCAGTTGGTGTTGCATCATTGCTGTCATTAGATACAGGATCATCATTCTTTTGTTCAGTCTCCATTGTCTCTTCCTACAATGATAGAGTATAATATTACAATATTATGTTAATTGCAGCATACCACAATGTTTTCTTTCAAAAAGGCACAAAGTTTCTCAAGAGTCCTCTCAACTTTTGCTACATACTCTTCAGTTACTTCTGTTATCTTTTTACTCCTAATTTCTAGACTCTCCCTTTCAGCGGACTTTCTTAAATAATTTTCCAGATATAAAGGCATGGACTGAATAAAGAGAATGATCATTATTGTACAGTAAGTATATGCAGCTATAGCTCACAGTATCGGCTAAAATTCCTAAGTTTTCTATCTCCTCTTCTAGTTTATTGATATCTTCGAGACACACCAAAATTATCCTCTGAAATGAAATAAAAATAGCAAGACTTGTTTCTTCACATGTCAACAGTAAAGGTTCCCATACACTTGGCAACATCATGTTGCTTGCAATATTTGTGGTTACTTTGATCTTGTAAGCAACATGTTGCCAGCCTCCTCTTTCTGGCAACATGTTGCTTACAAGATCAAAGTAACCACAAATGTTGCAAGCAACATGTTGCCTAGTGTATGGAGACCTTAACTTAAAATTGCAAAATCAGTAATCAAAATAAAAAACTGCCAATTTATCTTGTACAAATGGTCATTTCTCATTTCCACATTTCAATGGAAGCCGAACTAAGGACAAACAATAGCCTAAATTTAGCTAAAAGTTTCTAAAGGGCAGCATGGTAGAAAAGGGGCGAGTATGAGGCTATCAGTAGTCTACAAAGAGCTATTATTTTTAAAGACACTTACCAAAACTTTTAGTTCACATAAGAGCACATTGATGTGTTTGAGAAAAGGATCTTCTCCTGTGGCAGACATACCAGATACAACCTCATTAATGTTATCTATGATAACCTGAAGGTTATCAGGCGACCTCGTAAAACCTGGTCCTTTAGTTTTAATGTCTGAACAAAGTTTCTGAGCCATAGTATGAAGCACTTTGACATCAACGTTAAAAATAACAGAAATATTAGCATCAACTTCTAAAAAATGACTCTTCAATAGCTTGAGTTATATCAATCGGGTGCTTACCTTGTCCCGCCATTTATATCACGAGGATTTAACCTGGACCTTGGAGACATGTCTCTAAGGTTGAGACTTCTGCCATTTTGAGCATCACACGTGACAGCACGAGTTGTATAACAGTAATTACCGGTATTATAGTTAATTCATTACTAACCAGCTAGAAATTTTCTTATTATTATTAAAACAAATGTACCTCATCTTCATAGTGAGGCCAATAAAAATCAAACTTTTTTATATAAATGAATGGTATATAAATGACATGACGGTGACATTATAAATGAGAAAAATCATACTTTTGTATATAAATGACAAATTTAAATGAATTAAAAGTGTTGGTTGATACTAAGTGATGATATTAAGAGTCATCATGGAGATGTATCCATCGACCATTCTTGTGTATAACATGCTCGTACTTTACAAGATTTCTCCATTTGTCTTTTATAGCTACGTTATTTGACGTAGGGAACTTTTTGGCTGATTTTGATTCTAAAATCCTCTTCCAGTTTCCAACACCAAAACGATTCACTCCATCAACTAGAGCAGCTACAGCATCATAGCTCCAAAGAGATCTACGACTTCTTACTCTACTGTAAATGAAACAATAATAATAATAATTAATAATAATTACACCCCTTGCCATGTCCTGATGTATACGTGTAGATATACAGACAAACAGAATCATTATTATAGCTGCATGAGCATAAAAGCTTATTGGGTTTATGATAGTGATTTTAGATCATGTAATTGAGCAGCAGAATGGATTGGAAATCTACCAATATATATGAAATCTTCAAAAATGTATTTCTAGCGGTATAATACAGTTCTCTTGAACTTACATTGTAATGGTTTTTGGCTCTTTTGCATCAGTGAGTTCAGATTTAGTGATAACTGGGGAAGATGAAGACTCAGTTGGCATTGCATCTTTGCTGTCATTAGAGACAGGATCATCATTCTCTTGTTCAGTCTCCATTGTTTCTTCCTATTAATCAAACAGTTCAATACACTGCAAATACACTGCAAGTTCATAATAATACCACAATGTTCTCTTTCAAAAAGGCACAGAGCTTCTTTACATTCATCTCAACTTTAGCTTGATAGTGCTCAGCTACTTCTGCTACTTTTCCTTCATCTAAACTCTCTCTCTCAGTGAAATGCTTTAAAAACTCGTCCAGATAAATCCTACTAGTCTATATACATTAAAAACAATACTTTGGCTACAATAACTGTTAGCTCACTGTATTCTTTGTTGTCAGGGAGCTGCTCAACCTTTTCAACTCTTCCTCAGCTTTACCAAAGCTTTTCAAAAGAACTATTTTCTGAAATTAAAAAAAATCAATTGCACATTATTTTTGAAATCTTGATTCTTAAATGCTGCAAACTCTAGTACACTCCGCCTGAACAGCAAGGTAGTTTTAAAGACACTTACCAAGACCTTCAGTTCACATAAGAGCATATTGATGTGTTTGAGAAAAGAATCTTCACCAGACATACCAGATGCAATGTTAGTAATAGAATCTATTATTGTTTGAAGGTTATCAGGTGACCTGATAAAACCTGATCCTTTAGTTTCAATGTCAGAATAAAGTTTCTGGGCCATAGTATGAAGCAGTTTGACATCAGTATTAAAAGTGACATGGGTTTCAATCGGATTAACTTCTAATGAGTATTAAATGATGGAGGATGATTAGAGCATAGATATACTAGTCTAGTCCTTACCATCTATTGAAGGAGCTGCATTTGAAGCTGCCATCATTCCATTGAGTAACAGCTGGAAAAATCTATAGCCCAACTGGAGTCTGGAACTCCTTCCAAGATCTCTCTACATGTGGGATGTGACAAAAGGGTTAAATTAATAATCACTTATTTTATTATCATTGTTAAAATTAATGTTAATAATCAATTCTTAAATAAAATAATTATAAATACTAAATCTACAAATACAACAATATATTAACAGTATTTGTTAATTCATCCCTTCAGCTGCTGCCTCAGTCTAGTAAACATCTTATTTATGAGTGGAATGTGAGTGTCGGCACACCCCAAGAGGCAGTCCTGTCCTATCTTGTGTGCTCTCTCTCTCTCCTCCACAGTTGGGTTAGAAGAGAGGGAGTCCATGGCTTTATCCTGGCACTGTTGAGCACACCTGGTCAACCGATCCTATCAATTCGGAACAAATGTGAGCTGAAGCTTGAAAATTGATTATATTTTTACACCCGACATGCATACATGTAGATGTATTTCTGGTGTGGAGCTGATTCTGATCAAAATTAAAAGTTATGCCAAAGATTCTGTACTATGGTAGATGCTTTTTCCAAAATTTTGTTAATTTTTAAAATGGCTATAACTCGAAAAATTTTGGTCCGAATCAGCTCAAACTTTCTACAGAGTATAAGGACATCAATATGTATCAGAAAATGTAATAAAAAGTGGGGGTCATTTTTGAGCCATTTTTTGGAAAAAACCATGGGCTATAGCCTTGGGTACTTTTCAGAATTTTGGCATTTTCTTAAAATGGTTGTAACTCAAAAAGTTGAGCTCAGAATCAGCTCAAACTTTCTACACAGCATAAGGACATCAATATGTATCAGAAAATGTAATAAAAATTGGGGGTCATTTCGGGGCCATTTTTTGGAAAAAACCATGGACTATAGCCTTGGGTACTTTTCAAAAATTAGCCCGTTTTTTTTTTAATGGCCATAACTCAAAAAGTTGAGCTTGGAATCAGCTCAAACTTTCTACACAGCATAAGGACATCAATATGTATCAGAAAATGTAATAAAAATTGGGGGTCATTTCGGGGCCATTTTTTGGAAAAAACCATGGACTATAGCCTTGGGTACTTTTCAAAAATTAGCCTGTTTTTTTTAATGGCCATAACTCAAAAAGTTGAGCTCAGAATCAGCTCAAACTTTCTACAGAGCATAAGGGCATCAATATGTATCAGAAAATGTAATAAAAAGTGGGGGTCATTTTTGAGCCATTTTTTGGAAAAAACCATGGGCTATAGCCTTGGGTACTTTTCAGAATTTTGGCATTTTCTTAAAATAGTTGTAACTCAAAAAGTTGAGCTCAGAATCAGCTCAAACTTTCTACACAGCATAAGGACATCAATATGTATCAGAAAATGTAATAAAAAATTGGAGCGATTCCAGGGCCAATTTTGCATGAAATGGGCTGGACACAAATACCCATAGCTACCTGTATAGAATCTACTTCCTGCTTTATTCGCTCCTCCAGCTCAGAGACAGGGCGCATGCAATTCTGAAGACAGTTTTGAAGGATCATATGTGAGACTGAGCGATCCTGGCAACATTTAGCACAGCACTGGAAAGCATTGACCTTTTAGCAATAATGATAATAATGATAATAAAATTAATAATTATTATTTACAATATATATTTTTAGCATTTGTAGCTAGTATAATTTAATTTAGTACAACAAATCCATTAATTTTATTACAATACCTGAATGGGACGAATGTAATCTTTATCTATTGACTCTAGCTCTTTTTCCATGGCACACGATATCTTCTTCTCGGCAGCCATTACTGCACACGTGGGCGATTGTTAAGCCACTCCTCCTTTGTGTGGGTGTGTGTAGATCAAGGGCATTGCAAAGGTGTGCAGTCACACAGGAAGAAAATAGAAAATTAAAATTAATAATTTACTGTATGGCTTGGTTTGTGAATCTGCTTGAGTCGAGAGAAGTGCTTAAAAGCAGAGAAAGGTTTGCTGCTTATTATGTGAAAAACTTGAGATAACAACTCCAGCCAATACTAGTCTTTTACAAGCAGAACAACCGACCAACCGACGTATGAGCATAATGGGACAAGATAGTAAGAAAATACCTGTCGTCAACCGCCGGCAACCAGCCCCGGGTGTACCGGTACAGTCTAGTGCGCCCTCACTTGCCTCTTCTAGCATGGATGGAACATATAAATTCATTCTAAGTGGACTAGCAGCATGTACAGCACACGCCATCCACCATCCTCTCTACACCCTCAAGTCTCAAATGATGTTCTATGGACACGACTTTCGCTTCGGGGAATTCATGAGACAAGCTACCTCCCCGCAATTCCTTTACAGAGGTAAGCATCAAGGATTAGTGCCAAGGCTTGAGTTTGTATTAACTTTGCACTGCCAACAAGCTCTTTTTATATGCAATAACTTCATGTAACGATATACAACACCTCAAGTTTACTTTCCTTTCATAGGCCTAGTTCAAAGAATGGTTGGAATAATGCCAGAGAAGGCAATGAAGATGAGAGCCTGGGATGTTGTTGAAGGATATATCGAGAAAAAGTCTCCAAATGCAAAATATACCAAATGGCTTTTGGCAGGAGGGATGGCAGGGGTAGCAACAACAGTAGTAGGTAGGCCCTAAATACACACACCATACTCAGATCATTGCATCATCAAAGGATGTGAGCCTATACACACATGACAAACTTAATCATACCACTCAGTAATTGAATTATAATATATTCTTGTGACACTGACTCATTACAGGTTGCCCATCAGAGAGAGCTATGGTATTGGCAATGATCAGGAAACAAGGTTTTATTCAAGTCGTAAAAGATACCGGACTAAAGGGACTGTATAAAGGATGGACTGCAACGCTATACAGGGACATTCTATTTAACACTACCCTCTTTACCACTAGGAAAATCTTTATAGAGCAATACTGCAAAATGACAGGAAAGACAGATGCTAATATACCAGAGCGTATAGCATTGGGTCTGGTGCCAGGCTTCCTGGCATCAGTCATTGGTTGTCCTCATGATGTAGTGAAGACAAGAATGCAAGGAGCTAAATTATGTAAGAAGATACTCCCTAAAATAAGATATCAAATGTTAAATTTTTTTCTTTCAGATGCTCCGTATCGAAGCTGTTATACAATATTCTTTGATATTATACAGAAAGAGGGAGCCCGTAATCTGTGGAAAGGACTGTTGCCACGACTGATAGCTGTACCAAGTATGATGTCTTCCTTTATCGTCATAGATGAAGAGTATAAAAAGCTATTTGGTTACTGAGTCCCAATCATGGATATACCGAGCCCCAACCATACATATATCACGTGTAATGTTATTTTTGATGCCTCGTGCATTATTTTATTGTATTTATTATTTATTTTATTTCAACCCACACAGAGTCAGAGACTTTATCATATTGTAATATAACATTAGTTTTTCAATGTACCATAACATTCTATATATATACTCTAATAAATCAGTTACAGAATTATAATAACTTTGTGTAGTACAAATGATTATTGAGAATGCTGCTGAGCTCATCGTGCATTACAGTACACAAACAGGAAGACATAAGCGTAGTTATAAAACAACTGACAAGTGTTGCAGAAGTGATTGTCAGTAATATTGTTTTTACAATTGATGTCATTGCTGCAATATAGTTCAGTAATAACGTGTTTGTGTACTGTGCCGTGCGAATAGCACTTTACTAAGGTTACGTTTACACAGCGACGCAAAACGTGTCGTTTTAAAAATATATACTTTGAACACGGTGTTCGTTTTCATAAAGTTCTATACGATTCTATCATGTATACATTCGTTCAATGATTCTATCATGCTTTCCTTTGTTTCAATGTAAACAGAAGCATAAAACAGGCACAAAACTGGAATATGGCATAATTTTTTTGCGTTGCTGTGTAAACGTGGCCTTGATTAATACCAACTAGCTGTCGAATCATCACCTCCTTTGAAGGAAGTGAATCCTGTCATGATGATAAACAGTGTCTTTGATCACGTGAGGAGCACTGATTACCATTACAATACATTAATCCAGAGTAATACCATACATACCCTAATAATAAATCAATTTTGTAGTACATAATACTATAGCTGCATGGCTAGATCAGCAAATGACACCCCCACACCCTCACATGCACAGTTGGTCGTGGACACATACCATGCCATACCCACACTACAATAACAGGAAGACATAGTCACAATGATAGAATAACTGGATTGTACTATAATAGTAGCTACGATCAACTACAGCTGACAGCTGCCGCCAACTACTCACTCCTTCCCAATGGATACAGCAAAGCAGTGGATACTAAATGGGACAGCAAGTGGACTAGCAGCATGTACATCACATCTTATCCACCATCCTCTTTATACTTACAAATCTCAAACTATGTACCATGGGCAGAGCTTTCACGGCTTCTGGGCATTTTTGAAGCAAGCAAAAGACTCTGGCCGGTTAAGATTCCTTTACAGAGGTAAGCATGCAATAGTGTGCATTTAATCTGAGGACTAGCCTAATGTGTGACTATTTGTACCAGGATTGTTATCCAATGCTACTGATAGGTCTGCCACCAAGGATGCTTGCAATCATGCCAGAGAAGATCATGAAGATGTATGCCTGGGACTTGAGTAGAGGATACATCTCAAATAAGTATCCAGAAGCAAAATATACCAAATGGATAATAGCAGGGGCTTTTGCAGGGGCAGCAACAACAGTAGTAGGTAACTTGAGATTGCAGTCATGACCTTAATATACTTCTATTATATATACAGGTTGCCCTTCAGAAAGAATTATGGTCCTTTCGCAGGTGAGGAAGCAAGGATTTGTGCAAGTCATAAAGGACCAAGGACTAAAAGGACTTTATAAAGGATGGACTGCAACGCTATACAGAGACATTCTATTCAACATAACTCTATTCACTACAAGAGAACTGTTTAAAGAGCAGTACAAGAGCAAGAAAGGGAAGACTGACCTGAATGTGGTGGAAAGCATAGTATTGGGTCTGGTCCCAGGCTTTCTGGCAGCAGTCATTGGCTGTCCTCATGACGTAGTGAAGACAAGAATGCAAGGAGCTAAATTAGGTAATAGCAAAAGCTTTGTTAGTTCTGTTTAGTTACACGCACTCGTATCTGTATACATGACATAGTGTTTAAAATATCAACTTTTCACTTGACCATTTTCACAGATACTCCATATCGAAGCTGCTCTACAATTTTCTTTGATATTCTACGAAATGAGGGACCCCGCAATCTAATGAAAGGACTGATACCAAGACTGATTGCTGTACCAAGTATGATGGCTTGGTTTGTTGCTTTGGATGAGGAATTTAAGAAGCGTATTTAGTTCTAATCAATATCATTTATGTGTCTATGTGTCGATATTGCAAAATAGCTTGTTGTTATGCTAAAAGGTCACACTGACTGTATTGTAATTATTTTTAATACAATTTTATGTATAATGTTGGTAAGAAAAATTATCAGGGATAAGATCACAGGTAGAGACAAACTAACTGACAATTACATCTCAAGTGCTTAATCATCAATTCCTATTATCCAATCATGTCAAACATGTCACATGCGACAATATGATCTAATGACTCAGAGAGCCAGTGACCATTAAATGTTGTAATTGTCATCACCACTATATCATCCACACATTGTGATGTGCTGGATTATCTAATAGTAGATGTACTGGGTTATCTAATAGTAAAGTGTGTATGTGAGTGATTCTGTAGTTGATATTGGATGGACTTTGATGTCATGAAAGTACACATACATGTAAGTACAAGCACACAGACACACGATATAAAGGATAATCAGTTTGCATTGAACCCACATAGACACACTACTAACTAGCTAATAAAAACAATTTTATAAAAGTCTCGCAGGACCGGCAGGCTTCAATTCCTAGCAAGCATCATCGTCAAACATTTGCTCCAGTTTCTTGATATTATTATCAAGTCTGACAGGGTTAGTATGACCTTGAGAGTTATAGAGTAGAGTAAGGGCACTGACATAATCAACTTGATTAAATACTCTCCCCTGCTCCATCACAAGCTTTAGAAATTCCTATTAATAATAAACAGGATGAGAGCGTTACCAGTATATAAAGTGCATCAAATAGTGATAATTCCTACATAATGAATTTGTAATTGGCTGTTCACACACTGTTGGCAGTCTGACAAAAGTCACTGATTCCATAATGCAAGTTTTTGGCAGTTCAATCATACTTATAGCATCACTGCCAACTAACTGCATTAAAAGTAAACGTACACATATTAATGATGTACATATCACAAGTCACATAGGCCCACTCCCTGTGTATCAAGAAGAAGACGAATGCCGCCATTAATAAGATTAGTGAGCGTTGTGTGGCCATTGGACTGCTACTATTGCTACTACTACTGGTTGTAAATATTTAAAAATTGCAACCGTAACATAATACACTCGCTATAACTACATATATGTGCATCGCTTGCAAACGTATGAAATACAAATAATAGTGCGTGTTACTATTAATTTCACTAACCTCTTCATTCACGTACAGCATCGCAAAATACTTTTGAGCTAGGTCTAAATCTTTCTCACGGACTGAAGTTATCTTTGATAAGCAACTCTGAATGTGTTGAATATTCCGACACCTAATGAAGTCACCATCAACAAATGAACATATGTACATGTCAAACTGTTCACTTACATTTTTTTAACTCCGTTAATATTAATTTTATTCAGAAAAGAGGTGCTGTTAATAAAAATGGCCGCCACTAGATGTCCGACTCCATCAAAAAGGTAGCTTTGTTTAGGTAGAGTCAGTATACCAACAGTGTTCATCTTGAGTGACGTCAGGTCATTAGCTAACTCCTTCACTCCAGAATCACAATCAGCAACTTCATGTTCACATACATACGTGGACTAAAGAGAGACAGAGATTGATTGGTAAAGGTGGGTATAGATTATTAAGAATCACAAGTATCACTATGCAGTCAATCAGTGCTAGTGTCATTACACGTAGGTCATTAGGGAATTATACAATAGATCCTAGACTCAACACTTGATACAACAGCAGGACAGTTACAAGTACATATACTGTATATACATGGCTACCTGTGTAAGAGTGGGCATGAGGAAGTAGAAGCAATGAAAGCGAATCTCTAAATGGAGCACCATAATGGCAGCCCTTGATATCTCCTTAATCTCTCTGAGACAGTGAGAGAGTGACCTGGAAACAAGAAAATAATGAATAAATAAATAAATAAATAATAATAATAATAATAATAATAATAGCAGCATTATAGTTTCACTTACTCTATTGATTCACGTGTTTGAACATCATTATCTACAACAGCCTAAAAATAAAAAAAATAATAAATAATAATGAACAGAATACAGAAACAACATAAGCAACACTACACACATACATATACATGTACTACAGACAGTGTAACGCTACATTATACTGTCAGTAGTGAGTGTACCTGTTGCTCGTGTACTGAGAAGTGTTTCTTGAGTCTACTCATCATACTCCCATCAATCTCCTCCTTCCACTTCCCTGACATATCCTTTATCATCTCTTCCAACTTGACACCAAGCCATTCCTACAGTATACACATTGTAACCAAACTCCCTCTCCCCCCCTCTCTCTCCCCCTCTCCCTTACCATGCTCTCATTAAGGACACATAGTAATTTTATGCTGTCATGTTCAAAAATCATTTCAGATCTTTCGTAATTCTTCCTGGACGAGAGAAGCAGCTGCGACTCCTACAAGAACATCAATTGTGTCTTTAACAATAAATTAAACAACTTTGTGAGCCATAAACCAATAATTACTACACTGCCATCACTCCCCCTATGACATGTGAATCCACACACCCCACACACATATCCCCATTAATTATGTATACTAACATACAATAACTATTTCAACTGCTATTGCACCAGCTAGCTGTCAATTCTCTTACCTCATTATAAATGCTGTTCTTTCCACTTGAAGTGTCAACACGTTTGTGTTTCTTGGTCATTAGAAGTTCCCAAGATGAAAAGTTCACTAAAGATTTGAGTCTCTCCCTATCTCCAACCCACACAGCAGCTGCTACTAATGAAGGACCTGGTACATTAGCTGCAGCAGCACCAGGTGACGCAGATACACAATCTGAAATAAAATAAATAAATACATCAAACTATTATAATCATGTATATGTACATTATGTACACAAGTAGTTGTTTTAAGGGATATAATGTACATGTATGTATATAGTTCTGTGTTTATTAAAAATGACCTTTTTGTGTCAAGGACTGTACATGTATGTAATGTGCTAATGAGCTCATGAAGATTGTGTCTCATTTACTCTTTTAAATTAGGTTTCACTGCCCCCTCTCTCTCCCTCCCTCTCTCTCTCTCTCTCTCACCATTAAACATATTTAGAGTTATCTCCACATAAGTCTGGAGCAGATTGTATGCTATTGATAGGAAGTTAGCTGAATACATTGGAATGTCAAGCATCAGTTGATACAACTCCTTTAATGAATCCCACAATATAACAGAACTCTACAATAATAAAATTAATAAAATAAAGTTAATAATAATAATAGAATTAATAACTGACCGCAAGAAGTGCTGGCTTGTTTGAATTCCTCAACACTTTAATGGAGTCTCTTGCTTCAGCTACACATAATAAAATATAATTAATAATAAATAATAATGTACACGTATATAATAAAATAAAGTCATGATACTATGTACATGTACACAGTTCAACTAGCATACAATAAGAAGTGTAGAGTCTGTACTGTATACTGCACCGTACATGCATGACATCATGTACTGTAGAAGCATTCATTGTAATGAATATTATTAATTTATTAGAAATGATGCAATGTCTACTGAATGACGTAGCCTATCATCATATGATGCACATACATGTATGTACATGTACATACTGGATCTGCTGTGCATGTACAATGTATATCGTTAGCTATTGTCTCTAATTCCTGGGAACTTACGTTTGAGGGCATTGTCCATTTTCTCTTGAAATTCAATCTGTATCGTGTCAAGAAATCGATTTTCAACAAAATCCTGTAGGAACTGATAAAGGTCACAATGTGTACTAGAAATGAGAGAGAGAGAGGGGGGAACAAGAGAAGAGAAAATGTGAAAAATATTCATTAAATACTAGCGTAACTAACTCAGGCTGCAGCTGCATCGCCTCTTCAATTTTGAGCACAAAATCTCTTACAGGAGAATACATCACTAGAAAAAATAATAAAAAATTAAAACAAACAAAGTAAAGCCAATTTGGAAAAACCCCAGACAATGTATACATGCATGTACATGTACATGTACATACAATACAATAGAGCTGTATGATCGTACCTGTGATATTACGTGCTGAAGGTTTGCAGACTATGTGTTGTGATATCGACGGCTGATTGTCTTCAAAATTATGCTCCAATTGAGCAACTTGTCCACTCTAAAGTGGGCGTGGTTAAAATAGAGTGACCACACCCACACAAACCCACCTGAACTTGAGCCGCCAGTTCTTTGTCTCGTTGCTCCTTAATGTAGGAGCTCACACTCAGGGCGTGACGGGAGTTATCAAAACGAAAGAGAGGCTGCTTCCTAGTCTTAGTAGCAACCTTCTTCTTAAAAATGACAAATTCATGACTGGAGAGATACATAAATATCAACGGTAAAAGAAATGGAGAGAAAATTAGTAGAAAAGAGAGAGAGATGTACCCAGCAATAGCGAATGGTGTAAAAGCAGACATTGCTGTATGAGGCTTCTCTTCGTCTACTGCCAAATAAATCTCAAGCAAATCTCTTAACTATAAAAGAACAGGAATGTCAGTTATAAGTACATGTACATGTACATCATCATAATGTCAGTAATGTAGTATGTACATGCACATGTAGTTTAGAGTTGCATCATATAACTAATAGTTACTTACCACATGCTGTATTGCTGTCCATACATCTATTTCTGAATATAACTCGTAAGTACCTAAAATTAAAATGATTATAATAAACATTAATTGTAATGGACGTACCTTTATAAGTTGCTTTTATTTTAGTGAGACACTTGAGTAGGAGGGAGTGAGCAGCCACGACGTCGTCAAACTGCTGGAAACACATCTCAAGGAGAGTCTCCAGGTACTTAGGATTAGTGCACTTGGAAGAGGGAGCCATCTCGAGAGACACGCCTTCATCTTTAACACTAACAACAACAACAACAAAAATAATAATAACAACAACAATAATAATAATAATAATAATAATAATAATAATGATAATGATAATAATAATAATGATAATAATAACAACAACAATAATAATAATAATGATGATGATGATTAATTGATCAATAAAATTGGCTCAAATTTTTTATAGACTATAGGCATTAATGAAACAAGAATTTAATAAAGTAAAATAAATTAGAGAAATCTTACAGCTGTGCTATTCTAATTGATGCCTTTTCAATGATAAGAACCAACTCTTGCAGCATTTTCTTTTGAATAGCCTAAAAAATAAAGAAATCATGATCATAACAATCAAATAGTTTACTTACGTCCAGCATCTCAGGGACTTTCCCCAGCATCGAGAGTGACTCAACTAAACTACTGATGTACTCCACCAGAGCAGACTGGTGTTCCATACTAGCCTCAACCTATTGAATATTATTTTATTAATAATAATAATTATTATGAGGACACACCTCCTCATTAATGCTTGTTTCAATCACTGGAGGCGGAGTGAGTAATATTGAAGTTGGTTCAGTTATAGTTTCTATAAATAGACACAGACAAGTCACGTGACAGTCACATGATATGGTAAATACATACTTGATGAATGGCGAGAGTGTTTGGTACCTAATAATAATAATAAGGGATAGTAGGCTACATAATGTAATGCATTGCAGCTTACTGCTCCTTGGAATTGGTAGTGGAGATGATCTTGATGACACATCAGAAGAAGTACGAGCTACATGATAAAGAGAGAGGGAGAGATAAAAGAGAAATGAACAAAACTGAACTAACAGTGCTGCTGTTGTATAGAGTGACTGAACTGATTGATGGCCGACTGGTAAGCAAAACCAGTCGCCTTCACGTACAACTGATGCTGCAACTCATCAATGAGTTCCTCGTGAAAACTCTAACAAAATGATGTTAAAAAATTACACTATAGTTGCTGTTACTTACATCTTTAAGGTGCTTCAGTTCAACTCTTAGTTCACGCAGTGCTTCAATGTTGGATAGGTCTTTCTCCAGTAGACTAACTGTGGGTACATTAATGGAAATAAGAAGAAATGATATGAAATATGTACATGCACATGTATATGCATAAGTACCTGCATTTTTCAATAGTTCTGTAGCCTCGTAGTACTTCTTCTCTAATCTGTAGGACTGGAGCTTTTCAGGAACATGCTTCATGTCATCACTGAATAAAGGGAGTAACATATGAAAAAAAATTCATAAAAAATCCAATTTTGTTTGGAATCAGCTCAAACTTGAAACACAACATAAGAATATGTATATGTATCAGGGAAAATTATAAAAATGGTGAATTCTTTCCTTTTCATTTTTGGTGAGATTTGGCCGAAGACCGTGTACTATAGTACAGGGTCTTTGGCTCCATTTTGGAGCAACTTGAAACAAAAGTCCACACGAACCAAAAACGAAAAACTTACACTTGATTTAGGAGCTTGAGCATTATCTTGTGCTTCACGTTGTCAAAGTAAAGTCTCTTCAGTGCCTCCCTCTTACACTGGAGCTGAACTCTTGATAGAGCAAGATTCTCTCTGACCTGATGAACCTTGAACTGACTCTCTATAAAATAAAAAAGAATAATGTCAAAAAAATAATAAAATACATTCTTGATAAAAGTAAAGGAGTAAGAACAGAAATAAAAAGAAGGCATCATTACCTTTTACTGTTACGTCAATTTTCTGAAAAGTTGCTAATGTGCTGTGAAGCTTGTCCTGATGTTCTAGAATATAATAATAATAAGATAAAAATCAATGAAGGGAGGTTCTTTTAAAGGATTCATTATAATGGACTAGCTCACCGTCAACTAGACTGTGTAGGTTCTCCTCAGCAACATCAAGATCAGCTTGTATCTCTTCATAATGCTGTCTCCTCTCATCATCATCATAACTAATGAAACAATCTTAAAAACACCAGACATAATTACCATACCTCTCCGCTAGTTTCCTTATGACGACTTGTAGGAGAGATCCCTTTAATAATAGAATAATGATTAACAAGTGCTATCCTTCACTAACTTGGCTCTTTCCTCCAGACCCGCCAGTGTTGTATGTGCTGGGGAAACTAGAGGGAAAGCTACTGTAGTAGGCCATTTTGTCAATGAAAATATGAGGGCGTGGTCTAAGTAATTATTATTCATGATTCAAAAAAATAATGTTAAAACAGTCTCCTATAGGAATGACATGAATGATAAGGAATCCTCAGTGATACAATACATACTTCTCAATGTAGAAGAGCTCACTTGCAAAGAAATGTAGATATACATATAATTACTAAAGTATTTGTAATCGTTCTTCTTGTAGAGTTATAGTGCTCTTAGCATCACTAGCAGCATAGATATACAAACAATATACGTATACGTGTTTGTATATACAATATATGTGTTTGTATATCTATGCTAGCAGTAGTAACATAGGTCTCAAGACCGAGAGCTCAAGACCTCGAAAACTCTCTCACGGAGTTGAGCCACGTGTTTTCCGTATTCTTTAAGACACGGGATAACCCAGCCCCACCCACCTGGAGTATTCAGCTCCGCCCCGCCAGCTACTTTGTAGTTTAGACTCGAGTTTAGACCCTCTCGCATCTCTTTCTCCTTCACAATGACCTCAAGTATACCTGGAGTGACTCTCTCCTCTCTCATATTCAGTCTCAAGGCTACACCAGGAGATTCTGTATGATATTTGAACTAAAATAATGTTATAATTATTATAATTCTGCCTTGAATCATTAACCACGCCCACAATCCCCTCCCCTTTAGATTGGGTTTCTACTAGGTGAGTCATACAGTCATGAATCAGCTAATATCACTGATACGGAATCTCGTGGCATTAAAGTGAAGAGGAAAACATGTAAGCGTATTATCGTGGGTCGGGTCATGTCATGTGATTACATGTGCATGTTTCCATGGTAACACAGGTATACAGCAACATGTGTTTGTTGAAGGACGGCAGAGGTTTGCTCTTTCTTGATTTATTAGTTTTTAATTCTCTGTCCCCCTGTCTCTCGTGTAGTTTTACTGATTCTAAAGGTGCAGTTAATATTAGCAAGTTGGAAGAGTTGCTAGGTGATACAGTTTCACCCAAAGTAAACAGATACAATTATTCACATGTAATAGTATTGAGACTGTATACCTTTTACTTTATGCAGTCAGTAGTTGGTTGGTTTGTGTATCGTGCCAACTGTTCCTCTCGTCCGTCATTGTTAGAGCGATCCATTCACTCTAGTCTCATGATATCCCTACCACATTCACCAGGAAAAAGTAAAGTACTTGATTTGATATGGCGGTATTGTTTCTTGTTGTGGTACTGTAGATTTACTGTTTGGCTTATTCACTGAAGTTACATCAGATCTTTTATCAGTCGACTATTCATTCTATCAATGGATCGGAAGGTAGAACTACTAGCAATACAGTACATGTACATGTTATTGAAGTAAGAGTGCTAGCTAAGGTCTTATTCTTTCTAGAGGCACGTAGAGCAATAATGATAATGTACTATTAAATCCTTTGAAGATTCATTTTAGTTAATAGTTGGTCTTTTTGTGTGTAGTCGTTTAGAAAATGTCCATGTTGATGTGATCAACCTTCAGTCAACATCAGTAGCACCATATCAGACACTGCCCACCATACCTATCCCAGCACTGTTCAGCACTAACACTCAGGTTATGAAGAAAGCAAGGTTAGTGTGGCTATTCTATGGAAGTGTATCTCTGTAATCTTTAATGTATGTACATGTACATGTACATCTAGATTGATGTTATCTATATAGTGTCATAAAACAGTGTGTGTACACATAACTGGTGTGATAACTCATAACATATTCTGTTTTCACTTTAGTAGTGACAGCTGTTATGTCTATTTCTTGTTTACGATAGGGAGCTGTTGTTTTTGGAGTCTAATGAATTAAGACAGTGTGTGGAAACAGAGCAATTATGTCAAGCAGTTGTACAATCACTTCAGGTAGAGAAACAATGGTTTACTTTTACAATACATGTTCTCTTTCTCCTTTTAGTCACTAAGAGATGAGCTGGTCTCATCATACAAGACAATACAGTTCCTCAATGAGGAGGTAGAGTGTCTACGGTCTGACCTTGACAACAAGGTACTTAATGACTTAAATAAGGTTAGAGATACAGAGTCTCCTGCACCTTCCAGCCCAAAAAAGCTAGGTAAGAACTGACAGTACTTGTACTATAGTGTTATGAGAATCTTGTACTCATTCTTTATTGATGATATATTGCTATGTGCATATTGTAGGATTATAAATGATAATTGTCATTTCTTTCTGTTGTAGTAGGAGGCAAATCTGATTCACTTCCTTTACCTGAGCTAATACAATTAGGAGACAAACTGGCCTCTTTCACTTTCCCTCCCTCTCCCTCCTCTTCTGCATCAGCTCTCACGTCTTCTCATGATGAAACACCACAGATGGATCTATTAACAGGATCTCCCCCGCCTATTGGTGATCCTCCATTAATCAGTGACAGAGATCAAATTAGTAACAATACACCCCATAGTCAAGGTATGTCACAACATAGTAACATACTCAGGCAAACCAGCATAAGCAGTTGTACATGTACATTATTGTTGCAATTTAAGTTTAATTATATGCTTTTGGTAATGAGCAGCAATGAAGTAGAATATATTTGGTAGAGAGGGAGGGAGAGCTTGTTTTAAGGTTATTATTTGTCATTAATACTTTTATCTTATACTTAGATGGCTCAGCAAAAGAATCAGAGACGCAGTAAATTTCTTAACATTTTGTAGAATGGGAATATAATTTTTTATTAGAGAAATTAATTTTTAAATGATTTAATAATAGTATCAACATTTAACGTTAACGATGATTAATTGCCACACCCATATCATTAATAATACACAGACCCACCCACTATTGCTCTAGTTCCTTCCCATTGTACTCAGTTTGTTAACAATAAAGTTTGAAGTGTCCATGAACCTCTCCACACAGTTCACAAAACACTGTTCAGTTTTACCGTCCATACGATTGGGTACCTTGTCAATGCACTTATCCCAACAAAGATCTGAGAGAAAAAATAAAATTAATTACCTGATTAATAATAATAATAATACAGGAAAAGAGATTAATGAGGTCCAGTACATGCATCTGACACTGTATAATTAGCAAAATTGCGTTTCTAAACCTGTAAATTGGTGTACGTTGGCTTGAAATCGAGCTTTCTGTGTCTCTATTTGCACAAAACGCTGCAACTCTGGATCAACATCTCCAGGATTGAAATTGGCCATTGTGAAGCACGTGGGTGGGTGGGGAAAGGTGTGGCTAGTTAAGACATATTCTATTTAATGCCCAGCTCACGTTTGTGAACGTGTGGCTCAATGGCAGTATGATCTTGAAGATGTGGCGAGACCTCAGGCTTCATTTAAGAATAGCTGGGAGGGTATGGAGGAGTCTGAAGCGAGAGACAGTGCCTCACAGAACTAGAATATGGAGCTATCCTGTACTACGTCAGTTATCTGAAGGTGACACATGTATATGTACATGTACATGCATATACATGTACATGTATATACATGTACATGTAGATATAAGTATCAGAATAACATGGTGTTGTATAGCTAGTAGTTTTAGAGGGCAACAACCCGTGATGTTATTCTCCTTTTCTCAAGTAGATAAAAATGCACCGGAAGATCTTAAGGCTAACAATGCTACATGCAGTAAAGACAAAAATGGCCTTAATTCTACCACTTTGATTCAAACTGGTACATACAGACATCATAAATATGGCCTCCTCCATGTTTTACCCTTTCTCTCTCGTCCCTCCTCTCCCCCTCTTAATGATACATACCTACTACATGTACATTAGATGTAACTAGTACTAATAAAGAAGACACTGATTGGGATCTCGTTGGCACTACTAATAGTGCAGCAGTGCTAGAAGATACTGACTGGGATCTTAAAGATGACAACCCTGTACCATTAGCTACCAATAGCGAGGATAACAACTGGGATCTTAAAGATGATGATGCTGTACCATTAGCTACTAATAGCAGTGATACTGACTGGGATCTTAAAGATGATGATAACGATGATGTTGTACCATTAGCTACTAATACTGAAGATACTGACTGGGATCTTAAAGATAGTAATACTAATGTTCCACCTACCTCACCTGTTTCCCTATCAATCAGTGAAGGTACATGTACATCAATAGGAGAATACACAATGTGTTAATTCATAGTGTTTTATTGATCACTGCACCTTGTTCACTGTATTCATGCGTAAGATATTTATTTTCTGTCCATTGTCACTGGCAGGTGATCTTGTAGAGATGTGTGAGCAGTTAAAAGGAAGAGAGAAGCTATTAAAATCAGTAGCAGCTGGACAAGGAATAACTGGTAATATTTTATAATAATTTTACATGTGCATGTATGAGGTATTATTCTTTTCGGCAGGTGAGATTTATGATGAAGTACTCACAAGTTTCTGTGAGCTGTTACAAGACCCGACACAATACTCTGAGAACACGGCTCTATCAAACACAGTTGAGAGTATTCACAGAGGATCCACACACGTCGACAGTCTCTTCACTTATTTCATCAACCACGCCCACAAATGCTACCCTCTCCTGTATGTCCTCCCTCAACTGAAGAATATAGCAGATCTCACTTCACCTGCTCAATGGTAAGCTCGGTTGTCATGGCTACCGTTACTATAGCAACCCAGGTATCCAGCCGCCAGGGCAATGAAGCGTCATTTTGTGATACACGCTGGACCGACTAACTCAGGGAAGACCCACAAGGCGCTGGAGGCATTTTATAACGCCAGCAGTGGGATATACTGCGCCCCTTTGAGGATGTTGGCTCAAGAAATATATTTCAAATCAAATGATCAAGTTAGTAGAACAGGAATTGCAAAAAATGTTACATTGGATGTGCAGGAAAGATATAAATGTACATGTACATGTAGGTATAGAGTGTGTATGTATCAGCTAAATTGTGTGTGTGTGTGTTGTAGCTAAGTAGCTTTGCTATGCAATATCTAATAAGTTCAGCAGGAGTAGCAGCAGTTGGTATGTATATACCTTTTATTTTATGTAAATCTCATATGATTCCAATTTAATGTCTTCGTTTGATGTCCCTTCATCAGTACATATCCTCATCTCAATGTAGTCTGTGGTTGAAGCACTGAGTGTCTTGTTAAACCAGGGCAGCCCAGGCTTAGTGCAGCAGCTTGCTTCTGCAGCATCACATCCTTGACCATCCCATAACGGATCGTTGGGATAGAACTGGACTGCCCAGCTATCTGTAGGATTACCCGATTCACAGAAATAATCATCACCAACGAAAGCTGGGAGAGGTAGGCCGCCAGCACAAGGACAATTGTCTCCGTAGTTTTTATGAGCATGGACTCCGATCATTAGTGACCAGATGTGTTGGCGAGGAGACCCATGTGTAATGCTCAAACCGTCCATGTACACAGCATCAATGTTATGGTTTAGGTTTGAGTTGGTTGAGCCGTCAGGTGTGCCATATTGGTAAGCAATCGCTTTGCCACATACGTGAGTATAGCTGATTCCACGTGACGAAAACTTTTTTGATTCGCAGCTAGAGCCCCACATGCTGTTTTTACCACAAGTACGAAGGCCTGATGCAGTGTAGAGCAGAAACTCTGAAGGACAGTTCTGTGTAGCATCGGTCATATCCAGATATGCTAGTCTTGTCCATCCTCCTCCTAAACCACAGAGCTCGTCCATGTTACAGTAAGTACTGTACGAAGCACCATCAGAGCCTCCTAGCAGATATACACCTGATGGGCTATTGGGTTGCTGTGTTTTTATTTGTTGACAAGATGTAGGAAGTGCTCCTGTGTCATTATGAAGTACTAACAGTTCCTGTGCCACTAGCAGTATATCATTAACCACTCCAGCAGTAGTTGTACTCGTGTCACGATGATTAGAGAGAGTATTGACAACATTCATTAGCTTCTGAGCTGAGTTCCCTGTCGTCTCCATTATCTTATCAATATCTCTCGTATTGTTGAAACTCGTCTCTGTCTGGGAATCAGCAAAGCTACGAATATCATCAATCTTCCATGAGTTTCTCTCTGAAGCATTTGTCAGTCTCATAACCTGTGACTGAAGATCCATTATCCTTTTCTGCAAGTCATCACTTCTCTCATTGTAGACTGTGGTGCAATTCGGTTCCGTATTGCCACTTGTTAAGGCCATGCTATCAGTAGGAGCTATAGATGGGCAGTTGCAGCTGCAGGCTGGCTGCTCTGATGTAACTACTACAACTTGCAGTACAAGAAGAGCAATGAGTATCACAAAAGCAGCTGCTATGAGGATGATGATCCCAATCTTTACAGTGAGAGGAATAGCAGGTTTGGGCAACCCAGGGCTGACATGAAAGTTTAGTTTTGGATCATCTTCTTCATAATGTTCAACTTCATACTCTTGCTTCCTATCCATGACTGTAGTACCAAGCTCTCTCTCTTTTGAGTGTCTTCTTGCAAACTAGTAATGCCTTGTAGAGGATATTTGAAACTCTGTTTTCTTCTTTGTTTATCTCATATGGTGTATTCATGATTGAGACACAATACAACTTTAATGCACATGATGGGAATGTGCACCATGAATATATTAATACCATATCATCCAATAATGTATTGGATGAATAAGATTAGATTACTTTTCATTACATGTACAATGTAGCCTCTATATAATGGACACTTGGTACAAGAAGGTGTCTCTGTTATACAGAGGTGTCCTTTATGTGGAGGTTATTTTATACAGTAAGGAATGTAATTGGTACACTAGGTGCTGTCCGTTAAATGGAGGTGTACACTATAGAGAGTGTCCATTAAGAGAGGCTATACTGTACATGTACATGTACATTGTAACAAGTCCATTTATTATTATAATTGTGAATTGTCTAGGGGGTGGAGTGTGATCTAATAACTGGTGAAGAGAGGATTTACGTTAGTGGTAGTCCTGAGAAACTCTCCAACCACACGTCATGTACCATTGAAATGGCATCCACTGCTATCGGAGAAGAATGTAATAATTATACCTTTCTAATATAAACTTGATACATGTACATGTACGTTCATGTAGACATATTTATGCTCGTATTTTTTTTACGTTTAGTTGATGTGGCCATTATTGATGAAGCTCAGATGGTACGAGATACTGAAAGAGGTGGGGCATGGACACGTGCCATATTAGGTAAATAAACTAGTAATAACTAATGATAACTAATTATTATTATTATCAGGTGTCCCTGCTAAAGAGATACATTTGTGTGGTGAAGAATCAGTCATTTCCATCATCAGAAGTATTGCTGAATCAGTTGGTGATACTGTGGAGGTAATTAATGCTATTGAACCTTTTAAGATTGCTGCCAAAGACCATGTACTATATATAGTACAGGGTATTTTGTCAAAAATGAAAAGGAGAGAATTATTCATTTTTATATTTTTTCCTGATGCATATACATGTTTTTATGTTGCTTAGAAAGTTTGAGCTGATTCCGATCAAAATTAGATTTTTTATGATTTTTTAAAGTTACTCAAAAAATCAGGCCAAAGTCCCTGTACTATAGTACAGGGTGATGAGCCAAATTTAGCCAAAAATGAGAAGTAGAAAATTCTCCATTTTTATAATTTTTCCTGATGCATATACATGTTTTCATGTTGTGTAGAAAGTTTGAGCTGATTCCGATCAAAATTGAATTTTTTATGAATTTCTAAAAGTTGCTCAAAAGTATGTCCATCAATGGCCTCTAGTATGAGATGTTTAATCTAAAGGAGTTAGGCTCCAGTTTCATTACATTTCCTGGTACATGTACATTGCTTTAGGTGAAGAGATATGAAAGGCTAACGCCACTGATCCCACTGAAGAGGAGTCTCATTGGTAATTATTATTTCATTCGACCTGGGGACTGTGTCATTGTCTTCTCAAGACGACTAGTGTTTGAAGTGAAGGATCACATTGAACGAGCTACTGGGAGACGCTGTGCTATTGTGTATGGGGGACTACCATCAGGTACATGCATGATCACTATTTTTTATTTATTTGTTTGTTTATTTATTTATTTATAATCCTTTTTTAGTAAACAGACGCGAACAAGCTGAATTGTTCAATTCTCCTACCTCTGGTTTTGATATACTAGTAGCTACTGATGCCATTGGAATGGGACTCAACCTGTGAGTAGTTATACAATATATATACACACATGAATCAGGAATGTACATTACTAGTACATTTATACGAGTTTGATTTTTTTCATTTTTTGGTTCTTTTTTTTTTGTTAATTTCTCTCCAGACACATTAGAAGAATCCTGTTTCATTCCGTTTCTAAAGTTGCCCGTGGTAACCTAGAGAACCTTTCCTCGTCCCAACTAAAGCAGATATCAGGAAGAGCTGGTAGATATGGGAGCTTTAATGTTGGAATAGTCACTACGTAAGACATAATGAATAATAATAATATTAATAACACTAATAATTATTATTAATATTCTTTTAGATTTTTTAATAGAGACATGCCTTATTTTCAAGAAGCTTTTAAGAAGAAAATTGCTGATATAGATGTGAGCTGATTATTAAATTTGAAGTCATTTTAACGTGTCATTTTTCTTCTCTTTTTTTTCATAATTAGAAAGCTGGTCTTACTCCAACTCTTGAGCAGCTGCAGTTATTTTCAAAGAGTCTGCCAAATCTAAAGCTTCATGAGCTATTGGTATAATAGATTCAACATCTTTAGTCATTTTCATGTACATGTATTTGTCCTTTATGTTTTAATAGTCTGTTTTTTCGATGGCAGCGAAATTAGATGGTCGATATTTCTTATGTGAAGACAAGATGCAGGAATGGAGGGTGAGCAGTAGAATGCTGTGTACATGAATGAGATTTGTTGTTGTTGTTGTTGTTGTTATTCTATTTACGTGCCTTTAGGCTATTTCTGAAGTTCTTTCTGTGTATAATTTGGACCTGAAGGACGCCATCACATTTTGTTTGTGTCCTGTGAATCTCAATGTGCCTTTATTGAGGAAAATGTTTTCCATTGTAAGTGAATCACTAAGCACATCTCTCTTCATTATTAATTATATTATTCATTAATTATTCATTAATTATTATTATTTATTATAGTACGCTGCACAAGTTAGTGAGAAGAAACCTGTTACTTACGAGTTTGTTAAAAGAGCTCTTAAGTGGCCGTTCAGGGAACCACAGAACTCAAGTGATTTCTTCATTTTCGAGAAGGCACACGAAGTCATGGATACCTATCTCTGGCTTGGGTTGGTCTCGACCTAATTTTAACTGTTACATGTACATGTTTAAAGTCAGCCATTTTGTGTGCTTAATGACACATGAATGTATTATGATTCATGCCAGCATTCTGGCCATACAGCAGCCTTACCATAGTTTATATTTTTATTTATTTATTTATTTATTTACCTCCTCTGTTCTTAATTACATAGTCAGAGGTTTCCCGAATATTTTCCACACTCTGAGAAGATCAGTTTACTTCAGAAAGACATTGAAAACATTATCGGGTCCTCCCTGAGAAAAAGAAGGTCTTATAGAAGAGGGATATCGGTGGCAGCGTCCCTCTTTAGACCCATTATATCTCATAGGAGAGGCTCTCCTCTTAGTAGGGTCAGGATTATTGATGAGGAGTTACCAACAATCACTCCTTCGACTTACATATATAAATCAAATCACTATAAGCAGTAGCTGGCTGGTGGTAATGGTGATTCGACTAATGAGAGACATCAAGTTTGTTGTTGATTCAATTCTAACAATTCTTTGTGTTCCAATTATTTGTATAATTATTATGTCAATGTATTGGATTTAAGATAATTTATTGTAAATAATCAGTCCCATACTAGAAAGATATGGTATTAATACACAGTCTTCTCTCCTGATTATACACCAGTACTCGGTTGATATTGATACCCTTAAGCTTCAGTAATACACATATGTACATGTATGGACTATAGACTATACTGGCATACATACACTGTATAAAAGTGAAAGCATAAGAACTGTCAGTTTGAGAATCAGAAATTAAGTTTCAATATAAAAAAAACCTGTTTAAAAATAACTACAAACAATAATAATAATACTAGTAGCATTAATTATATTTATTTATTTTCATCTTCTCTACTGTATTTAAGTTAATATTCTGTTGAGTGGGTGTGGTCTATAATGAGGGGTGTGGCTAATTCTGTGTGGTGGCGTTTATGTTGGAGGCTCGATCACCTCTTGAAGATAGTTTGTCGGTACCAGCCCAACACGTCCATTCAGCTCAGCATAGAAGAAACTGTTCTCATGCTACATAAAAATAAAGATAATAATAATAATAATAATAATAGGGAAATTTTTAAGGGCATAAGTTTTGCAAATTTGCTGAAAATCTGTTATATGGGTTTTTACTGTTTTAAGTTGATGTTTGAATCTTGATAGAATTGTATGTACATGTACATATATATTTGCAGATTCCCAATGTATATATATATATATATATAATAGTGATTCACTTATGTCACTGACCATTATTCCATGTACAGTTAATATTTCTCCTTCATCAAACTCCAGCTCTTCTAGTCCTCCTAAGGTATCCGGAGACATTGGCTGTGAAAGTGAAGCTGAGTCAATTTCAGGATCATAGTAACGCATTGCTCTGTAGCGCTTTGAGCTTCCAGCATATTTATAATAAACTATAGATGAGGAGAAAGAGACTGGGGTTGCCAGGTCTCTCTTGCTTGTTGTGCATATTCCAAGAAGATGTGGCACGTTTAGGTCAAGTCCTTTCAGTAATGCTTGCTTGATGTTAGCCGAGGCTATATCCATTATCTTTGCTTCATCGCAATAGAGAGTGTATCCAGTTGCTAGTAGGTCTCCTCCTGTTTCTAGAGTAGGAGGTACCCACGTGAGAAGGAGGGAGTCCCCGTCTGGCTGTCGATCTGCACGGAACATTGTGGGCGGGGCTAGTTTGTGTACTTCGATGGACTCGTGACTTTGACTACTGGTATGTGTTAGGTTCTAGAAAAGAGTAAAATTTTGTGTATCTAAGTTGTAAATTTTTGTAAAGTTGTTATTTTTGTTCATTTGAATTGTAAGTTGTGTACCTGATCAAGTAGTCTTTTCTGTGTCTCACTGTCACTGATTTCCATTGCTTGTATAAAAGCTGCAGGGACTAGCCCACGCTGTCCTTTATATTCTGCAGTGTAGTAGCCTGAACTATCCATATCACTTATAACATTAATCACATCACCTGAAAACGTATTACATTAAATACAAGCAGAAGAACAGTATATGTATGGTGTCAATCGCAATCAAGTGTTGTTGTGTATGGTAGTTCTTACCTGTTTTAATGGTGAGCTCTCTTTCAGGATGACCAGTGGAACAATATGATTTCGGATTATAATCAAAAAGAGCAACAAACAGCTGTGACTTGGGGCTCTTGGACACCACTCTCCCTGCCCGTGGTACCCTTTTACCGCCAGTAGACCCAGACTCAATGGGAACTGGGGCAGCTGGGTATGAGTTGTTAAGAGACCATGCTGTTTTAACTGGCGATGGATTGGATGAGGAGAGAGAGAGCGAGGCATCAGTTGTCACTGATGGACCAATTGATGATATCATCTGTAAAATTAAAAGAAAAAATTAGACACTTTCAACCTGTTTTAGTCAGTCTCTTACATGCAGAGATAGTGATGAGCTTTCACCAGAATAAGGAGTTGATCCTCTTGGATATACAGTAGAGAGGAGCTCCTTCACTGCACTGTCAAGTCTAGTAACTTCTCCTTGAATCGCTCCTGAGTCAACTCCTTCTTCAACTGCTTCATTAGTACCTTCCAAAGCCTGCAGGACCTTCTCTCCAACTTTCTGTGTGACTTGTATTTGATCTGAAAGTGATGTGATGTGTTCGTCTCTCTCGGCTAGCAGTGAGACATGTAGACTTTGCTCTCTTGTCAGTCTTCCTTCTAGTTCTGTTACAAGTCCTTGGAGCTCGTGAACACGATGAGAACCTTCAGATAGTCTCTCCTCTAGGACTGCAACCTATTGGCAAGATATGATGATGTATAGTTTCTTATTTTTATTTTACTTTTGATTTTAGAGCTGCTTTGTCTGACTGAAACTTTTCTAACCATTTTTGGAACTTCTCACTATTACCACTGGTTAAAGGCACTGCACCTGATACAATAGTACAAGTAATTATTAATATCATTTTTGTCAATATTCCTTACTGTCTGTATCATCAAATCCTTCTTCATCTTCATCTTCTTCTCTTTTAGGTAGTTTAGGTACTTGCTGTCTCTTTATTAATTCGTTGGCTTCACTTAGTTTCCTTTCAACTTGTTCTACCAAAGTATTGCACAATGCTGCATTTGGACCAGTTAGATCTAAAACATACATAAATTGCAATTCCAAAATTGCCAATATTTCCCTATGCATATTGATGTACCTGCTGATGCAACTCTTTTAATTTCTTGTACAGTATCATTAACTGATTGAAGACAATCCTGTGCTTTGTATGAGAGTGATCCAGTTACTTTGCTTGGAGATCCAGTAACATTTTCTGTTAAAAAATAATGGGCCATTTATGATGTGCAATTTAACTTACCTTCAGATAAGTTTTGTATGGTTTGTTTTAATGAAGTACTGATAGCTGCTTCTCCTTCAAGTTGACCAATAGTTTCTGCTAGTTTTGACTCCAATTCTTTTATATGCTCTCCTTGTGTTGAAACCTTCTCTCTCAGTATTGACTCCATTTCATCTACCTCAGCTTTCTGCAAAAATGACATTGCTGTATCATTAAAATTTTGAGTGCAAGAGATTTTACCTTGTTTTGTAGCTCTAGCATCAGCAGCTCATTACTTTCAATTAATTGTCTATTTCTTTCTGCAAGTTCCCCTCCATTTTCATTTTCATCAAACTAAACACGAAATATATGTAAATCAAAGATACCAAACATCACATGGCATCTAACCTGTTCATTCAAGGTGCCCTCAAGTTCAGTGATCCTCTTTAAACTTTTCTGCAGCCTTTCTCTGAGATTTGTTTCTCTCTTGACATCAAATTCATTTTTCAGTTTAGCTTGAAGCAGGCTAAGCTCTCTTTCCAACTCAAGCCTTTCCTTCTCTCTCTATTATGAGCAATAACAACATTACAATATGCTGAATTGATCGCATTCTATTCCTACTTGTTTTGCTTTGCTGTGTAGGTTCTTGCTTCTTGTGAGCAGTGAGTTGTATCTCTCGCGTAAAGCATTATGAAGGCCCTTGAGTTTACCATGTGAAGTCTATTAGGTGTATATATATAGATATGTTGTAGTAAGTGCTCATTCATTTTCCACTCACTTTAAGCTCTTCATATTGAATGCTCACTTCATCCTTATCAAATTCAATTTGCTCTAGCTGTTCCTTTAAAATGCTTTCATTACTTGCAAGTGACCATTGACTGCCGAAATCATCTACAACAATGATAATAATAATGATCTTAAACTTCTCTATAGCTCAAGACAAGCAAACCTAATGGCTGTGGTGATGACTGTAGCCTGCGAATAGCCACTGGGAGCTGGGATGGAGGAGGTGAGAATGAAGGAGATGGTACCCTCAAAACCGGTGAAGGACTTTCTCTGTATGGTGATGATACCCTTGGACCAAAATCTGGTGATGCAGTTCGCCTTTCAACTTCCCCTAACTTCTCTTGAAGCTCCTAAAAGTATTGTAGATCAAGTAATGATCACAAGGGGATATGTGCTATACATTTTTTTGTTGCTGGAGTCTGTTGATTTGTGCATGGGCTCTGTCAAGGTCTTTATGACTTGTTGTCCATTCATTGACCAGCTCCTTTTGACTTCTCTCCTTTGATTCCTCAAGCAATTGATTCTCAGATTTCTAAATTTTAGAATATTATTGTTATTATTATTATTATTATTATTATATTATTATTATTATTATTATTATTATTATTATTATTTTAGAATGCCCTTACCAGCTTAATATTCTCCTTTGAAAGGGCCTGGATTTTCTTTTCTTTTCTCTTAAGAGCTGCTTGTAGTTCGTCGTTTTGTACCATAACTTTATTTCTAACTATGTTCAATTCTTCTAGCCGACTTGTCTTTATAAATTATATTAACATAATTTACAACCCTGCAAACCGTAGCCTTACTAGTTCTTCCACTTTGTTTTCAAGATCTCTCATTTTCTTGTGTTCTGCAACTCTTTTAGCAGCCAGAGTAGTATCTATAGCTGGTGCTCTTCTCTATTAAAACAAAGAGAATGGTCAGTGCATGTGTAATTTTATCAAAAATGAAAAGTAGAGTATTCTTCATTTATATTATTTTTAAGGACTCACTGAAGGAGGAGTGAGGTATGGTCTTGGTGAAACATCACGTGGTCTTTGAGGAGCTTTTGCTTCTATTGTACTTTCCTTTTCTTTTTTATCCGCTTCATCTTTCAGCTCCTTAACTTGAACTTTCAGGGCAGCAAGCTTCTTATCTTTGTCAAGACTAGATCTCTGCAATTCATGTATCTATAATTGGTATAATAACTACTGCATAATAGGAAAATTCTGATTTTACTTTAAGTTCCTTGTTCCTAATCCTAATCAGATCTTCTGAATGCTTTTCCTTCACTTCTTCTATTTGAGTTGCCTATCACATAATGAGAACATTTCATGTTATATGAAATCATTTCGTTTTACCAGTTCAGATTTTTCCTTTTTAATCCTATCTAGTAGTTTCTGCTTGGAGTCCTGCTGAAACTGAAGGTCTCTTATTTTTGTCATATCGTCTTTGTGTCTTTGTCTTAGAGGCTCAACCTCGTTCTTCATATGCTCTAACTCACCTTCCTATTAATAGCACAGTATGTACAATGATCATTGAAATCATAGTTATAGGTACATGAAAATCATAAACTATAGTTTTGTGTACCAAATCAGTTTTTGCTCTTGTAAGTGCATCCACATCTTTCTGCAGTTTTTTTGCCAGGAATCCTAGCTCACTGTTCTTCAGTAACAACTCATTGTATGATGTCTATCAATCACAGAAATACAATAATTATATAATGAATGATGTTCCACTGTACTTTAGTGTGACTGGATGTGCTGCTGTCATCAGTAGAGGAATCTTGTGGAGGAAGAGGAGGAACTCTGATCCCAACTGCTTTTTTATGAAGTTGTAGCTCATTCTCTAATTTTTCTTTGTCAGCCTGTAACTTTCCACTGGTTCGTTTTTCTGCTGCCAGTTCATTCTCTTTAGCTTGGAGCTGTCTTTCTTTATTCTTCAATTCCTCAATCTGTTGGTAAAGTGACAGTAATTAAGTATAAAGGTGATGTAATTAGATTTGTTAATACAAGAGGTAGCAATGGCACTGCATCACAGCAGTTAATGTTAGTGCAAAGTTTGTAAAATGAAGTAGTATTACTTGTCTGTTGCTGTCTGTGTGTGATTCCTTTCTCAAATTAGCTATGGCTTTTTGGTGCTCCTTCTCTTTCTCTCTAAAAACTAAATTAAAAGCCGGCAGACTTGAAGTGAATGAACTAACTGGATGGTTTGTGTCAAGTTTGCAGTCTCTTCTTTCAAGTCTGCAATTTTGGCCTCTGCTTGTGCTAACTTTGACTCAACTTCAAAAATAGACTTTGTCATCTTCTTTATTTTAGAAGACTCAATTTGATCAGTTACCTGAGCATGACAAATGAATTAAACGATTCTTATTAAACACTTATTCTTCTGCCATGTTGATAATGTGTCACTACCTCTTTAGTCACTTCATTCTTCAGCTTCTCCTTCAATTCATTTTTTAGTCTCTTCTCTTGTTCCTTTAGCTCAGTATGGTGCTGTTTCTTTTGTTCCTCCAGCTTTTCTCCTTGCTCTTCTCTTAATCTGTCCTTTATGGTCTATTGGGAAATCATGCTAACATAATTGATTCATTGCAGTAGTAGTGGTTTACTCTCATCTCCTCCTTGTGTTCTCTTTGAAGCTCCTCCTTAACCTTCTCCTTTGCCTCTTCCACATCAGTATGGTGCTGTCTCTTTTGTTCTTCCAACTTTTCTCCTTGCTCTTCTCTTAATCTTTTCTCTAGGGTCTAGTGGGAAATCACAGTAAGATAATTGATTCATTGCAGTAGTAGTGGTTTACTCTCATCTCCTCCTCGTGTTCTCTTTTAAGCTCCTCCTTAGCCTTCTCCTTTGCTTCTTCCACATCTTTGTCCTGAATGTGGAAAAGAAATTTTCAATTAAGTAACTGCAAAGGTAGACTAACCTTTTGTCTTTTCACGTGTTCAAATTGGTTGTTTAGCTCTGCGAAGTCTCTCTGCAGTTCATTCACTGTTCTTCCACGGGTCTCTTCTCCTTTGTCTTCACTCATTCTGACAGCAGAACTGACAGTTTTGTGCGTTCTCCCTAACCTAAATCGGGTGGGGCTGAAGTAGATACGCCCCTAGTTTATACCACCCACGCATTGAGAATCAGCCCCTCCCATTTGCTTTAGTTGGCACACATGGAATGTCACGGTCGTTGTCGCCTTCTTGCTCTTCTTCTGGTAAGTTTCCATTTTCTCCTCTCATTTTTACATCCTCTTTTTGTATCTTTTTTTGTCTCCCAATGCAGAGCCTTTTAGGCTTGTTTCTGGTCTCCCTCATGTACTTCTTCTCCTCTACTCCCTCCATTTTAGTTACCATGTCACCTCCTAAACGATCTCAGAAAGTCTCTGTCTTCCTCTGCTTGAACAATCCAACCCTCAGGGAGATAGAGGATATTGAAAAAGACTTGCACGAAGGTCGTTCACAAATTTATGCATTTCATTTTAATTTTGATTAATAATTGATGCAGACTATAAATTTGTAATATTTCTTGACCCCTTGTATTATACAGCTTTCTCCGATATGAAGCTAGACCATGAAACCTTCATTGTAGTCAGCGAGACCTCAGGCTCCTCCCTACAATCAGACCAACTCTCCTCCCTTCCTACTCCTCCCCCTCACCATCATAGGGAGGTCCTCTCCAGTCCCACGTGTACAGGTGCTCTCTCGAAGGCTCATTTCAGCATCTTACTGGTAGGTGTGGTCACTCCGCTCTTGTTACTGTGATACTGTGTGTGTAGGTAATAGGTGCTAATATGTCTTATTATAAAGACACAGTTCATGGACTGATTGAGCCACTCATCAATAGTCAAGCTGAACTAACACTTACTTATAATGTGGATGAGGTCTTTATCTTTAATATTTAATTTTATTATGTCTTCTATCTATTTATTTAATCTTTCCTGCTTCCTTTATGTTTTTATGCTTATATTTCCATACTGTTTATCCATACTTCTTTCTTTTTATTTTTCCTTGTTCCTCTCTCTTTCTCTCTCACTTCTCACTCTCCATTCCAGTCCTTCAGTTTGATAGATAGTTTGTTGCTGTTATGCATCTATCCTTTAACTGGTGCAGCATATATCCCACCAAGCCCAGTTCTAGCTATACTGACACCAACTCTTACACAAGGTCAGTAAAACATGGTACCATTGAATATGCAGCAAGAGGTAAACATTGAGTTTCTGCTATTTTCATTATTATTATAACAGTTCACATACATGTACATGCATATAAGTATGTTATGTCTGATATACTAAAGGTTATAATAATACACAACATTTAAATGGGATATTATTAAAGTCAATGTATTTTTATGAAAGAATCCTGATGCTTCTGTAGCTCTTTGCAATACAGTTTCATGGTCTTTTGACTTCATTTATCAATAGTATACTTTACTATAGAACTGGCTGTTAAAAGTTCATTGTTCTTGTAATAGTCACACCTGTTCATTCCTAAGTATTCTTACTATCATCAAGAGTACTCTATGTTATTGTTACCTCTCTCTCTTTGTCTTAATATATTGCTTTGTATCTTTCTCTAAAACTCCGCTACTTTCTATTTTATTGTTCACTTTGAAAGCATTTCTACATACTCCATGATAATAGCTCTTTAGTGCTAAAGTTATGAGCATTTTTCATTTTTAACAATGAGCTATAGCCCATAGTTTTTTCCAAAAAATGGCTCCAAAATCACCCCCCATTTTTATTACATTTTCTGATACATATTGATGTCCTTATGCTGTGTAGAAAGTTTGAGGTGATTCTGACTTCAATTTTTCAAGTTACGGCCATTTTAAGAAAATGCCAGAATTCTGAAAAGTACCCAAGGCTATAGCCCATGGTTTTTTCCAAAAAATGGCTCCAAAATCACCCCCAATTTTTATTAAATTTTCTAATACATATTGATGTACTTATGCTGTGTAGAAAGTTTGAGGTGATTCCGACTTCAACTTTTTAAGTTATGGCCATTTTAAGAAAATGCCAAAATTCTGAAAAATACCCAAGGCTATAGCCCATGGTTTTTTCCAAAAAATGGCTCCAAAATCACCCCCAATTTTTATTACATTTTCTAATACATATTGATGTACTTATGCTGTGTAGAAAGTTTGAGCTGATTCTGACTTCAATTTTTCAAGTTACGGCCATTTTAAGAAAATGCCCAAATTCTGAAAAATACCCAAGGCTATAGCCCATGGTTTTTTCCAAAAAATGGCTCCAAAATCACCCCAAATTTTTATTACATTATCTGATACATATTGATGTCCTTGTGTTAATGGGTAGGTTGTGAAGGTGTGGAGGGACAGGAGGAGAGAGGAGGAAGTCTATCAGTTGAACTGGTATCAAGATGTGCACTCCACAACTGGCTGTCAGTTTCAACCAGCCTCTCAGATATACACGGAGACTCAACAGGAAGGATAACGCTATCACAGGTACTGGAAATTATTAATAATTTCATTATTATTGATCATGTGACAATCACGTGACATTGTTTTATAGGTAACCTCACTATGGTGGAGCCTACACCCATTCCTTTGTGTGTTTGGGTCCTTGATTCTCTTTCTGTTAATTATCCTAACTGTCTACGTCTTTTTAAAGAGAAGTTCTTCCAGCAAAAATATAAGGGACATGAAATTATTCATCACGTGACGAGATAAATGTGTACTATTATTTATTTTCGATATTATTTTGAATTTTTATCAGTTAAAAAGTTTTGTTTGTTACAAGAACTAAAGATCCGGAAAAGCTAGCGGCTTTTCAATAACAATAACAGAGACACCATTACACTATACATATCTATATAATAATGTGTGTGTGTGTGTGTGTTTAATAGCATCAAAATAAGTTCGTGTATCAACATCTCAAGAGTTTATAGGAGGGAAGCTATGAAGGGTGTGTTCATCATTATTAATCTCCTCCTCTACTTCTCCCACTCCAGTGTCTTCCTCATCATTCCTCCAATCTTCTTCCTCCAGCGTCTCTCCCTCGCTGGAGAACGTGAACCTCATAGGACCCTGACGGAGACGAGTGTAACGTACCTCAAGCGACCTGTACTTCCTTTAAAGGAAACAGGAGAGAAGAGAGAGTTTGACGATTGTGGGTTATAGTGTCTTACTTTTTGTAGTAGTAGATGACCACACCCACTATCACCAAGGCAACAACGACCAGTAGAACAGTGCCTGTTCCCAGTCCTATGATTAGTGGCTTGTAATCTTTTGAATTGTGATCCACTGGATAAGGATCTGTAGAGTAAAAGAACAATTAAAATAATAACAATATTATTATGTGCTTTTATTGAGGAGAGACACTGTACTATAGTAGAGGGGCTTTGGCCCAATTTTTGAGCAACTTCAAAAATTTGTAAAAAATCTGGTTTTCATCGGAACCAGTTGAAACTTTCTACACAACATAGGAACATGCAGACATTACTTTAAACCTTGTTCTTTTTATATTGTATACGAACCGTAAATAAAAATGGTTGGTCCTAGATCAGCAGTAGCTTTTAGGGTAGTATTTCGAACAGTGAAGGTAGTATTCCCATCGTTAATGTCAGCTGCAATCGTCTTAGATAACTACCATAAAATAAAACATAAACATAATAATAAACACTATTAATCAACCAGCACATGTACATGTTGAATATAAGGAACTGATTCTTTTCTGATTTGGCTTAAATTCTACCCTAATAATGAATATTGATATTGCTTTTTGTTCCCAAATTTGCAAAATAGCTACTTTAGCTACTTTAATTCTGTAAATTGTTAAACAAATGGACCTTGACCAGCTTGACCAGTTTGATGTCCAGTGAACATTGCATGTGTGTTTGTGTGAATGAGAAACTGACCGTTTGAACTTTGAGCACATCATCAGAAGACAGTGTCTTTGGAAGAATTGTGACATGAGCAATGAGATACTGTTGGTCAGCAGCTCCAGAACGTTTCCTAGGACCTGAAACAACTGTAGCATTACTTTCCAGGGACACATTAACGCTTAGCTGCCATTTTAAAACTGCATACGACTACGAAATAAAAATAATATAAAAACTGCAAGTAATGCATGTTGACCTTGTACAATTATAATGTAAAACACATGTAGATTCACAACAGTTTCATTGGTGTACTCACTGATAATATTTTATTCTTTACGCCATTCTGTACGTCTAGTTGCACCTGGTAGTCATTGTAATCAAATTTAGTCAATGTCTTGAAAATGACACGGACATAACCGTATGCCCCAGGACCTTAAAACACCAAAAGATAAAAATACCCATTCTCTCTCTCTCCCTCTCACCTGCTACCATTAATGTCTGCTTAGTTGTAACGGATGATACGTTATTATGCAACTCTGCATTAACTGATACAGTACCGGCCTCAGGTGCAATGAAACTAAAGGTAGTAGCCCCATTAGCTACTGTTAGGAATGTACTCAGTAATGCAGTGGAATCCTGACTGCCGCTAGTACTACTGCTGCTATCACCAGAGTGTAGATTAATGTACAAGTTGCCACTGTAACTGGAGGAAGAACCTAGAACTGCAAGAACAGCATCGACTTGTTTATTAATACGATACACTGGTTGTTTGAAGGTAAGGGTGGCACGAGCAATGGGATCTGAGAGGAGAGAGAGAGAGAGAGAGAGAGGGAGGAGAGGGAGAGAGAGAGGGGGGGGAGAGGGAGAGAGAGAGGGAGAGAGAGAGAGAGATGTAATGTAATGTACATGTATGTGATTTTCTGTTGCATTTATAACTTACATTCTACAGTGAATAGTCTTGATACTTGACTAGCTCCAATGTAATTATTACTGGACACTCTCACCACGTACCTCCCAGCTTCAGAGAATGTAAAAGATTTAGAAGTGGCAGTACCAACAGAATTGAGTAATGGTGTGCCACCATGAGCCCCAGCATGAGATATCACCCAATCATAGGTAGTATCGGGCTATTGGAAGATGATGAAGAATTGTAAATAAAAGTAAAATTAAATATAACAATTTATCATTATTCACATTATGATGGCTGTACCTGATAAGGTGTGACGGTGAATAGAACTTCTTTACCAACTGGTATGAAGCTATCGGTTTGTAATGGATTGCTGTTGAGGGTAGCATTCAAATGTAGAGGAGATGTAACTGTGATTGGAGACAAAGAATTGGTCAAGAATTAAACAATAATAATACATTTAAGATAATAATGATTGCTTTTATTTGAAACTCTCTCTTCCTTACCATTTTCAACTAATATGGGGAAATGATTCATTTTAATTCCGTATATATTAGCAAAGGTCACCGTTAGTGTATAATTTCCAATGTTCCAGTAGGTGTGTTCAACTGCTTTTATATCTTCAGTTTCCGTTGGAGTGTTATCACCAAAGTCCCAGGTATACGTTCCAGGCTCAATAAACTTTAAAAAATTAATAATAAATGAATATATACATGTACATTAAACATTACTAGTGTATTGTGGAGTGTCGTTATATTTTCAAGGAAGTACACAGACTTCTGAGTGACCCTAGCAATCTTTGGCATTACTGTGAAATCAACCACTTTATCTGAATAAAAAAAATAATACAATATATTAATAATAATACTAGCTGAATCATAATGTACATGTATATACAGTTTAAACTAATTTCTAAGGTAGAATAGAAAAATAATTATGCAAAATAACTGTATGTATATGTACATGTGATTAATTGCATCATTACCTAATACGAATATCGTAATATGAGCAGTATTGTTACCAGCATCATTCTTAGCAAAGACGGTGACATTATAAGCCCCAGGTACAGTGTAGGTGTACCGCTGGGTACTAGCAGAGTCAAAACCTTTAATAGGAGGAGATGATGTGGGGGTGTTGTCATCAAAGGACCAGGAGTAAAAGGTAACTGCTTTACCGCCCTAAGGAGAGAGAGGAGAGAGAGAAGGAGTGATTTAAAAACATTCTATTTTCTATCATTATTCTATCCTCAATACTTACACTTCTTTGCTCAAGGGTAAAGGTGACTTCTGTGTTAGCTCTGACATGATAGTTGTCAGTCGTTATTGTCATATCTGCTGGAGGTAGTACTGGACACCTTACCATTACTGACTGATAGAAGGTTTCATTTCCATCTTTGCACTTATCACCAGCAATCCTGCGGTAACTGTACAGGAGAAAGAAAGAGGACAAGAAGAAATGTAATTAACCTAGTTCCATTGTCACAAAATTCATGACAAGCAAAAAACCCATTAGTTCCATTGTCACGAAATCTGTGACAAGCAAAAACCCATTAGTTCCACTGTCACAGAATTCGTAATAACCAAAAAATGTACATGTACATGTATAAATCTTACGGTGATGGGTAAGAGTAATTGTTCCCCTCGAAGCAGTCAATGGGAGGGTTAGGAGGATAGACTGTTCCTGCCATGGGGCTACACTCTCCGCTGAGACCAACCCTCTCAAATCCAACTTGACTGTATCAAAAAAGAATAAGAAAGAAAGTGTAAATCATGTGAAGAGTCTACAATAACTTTTATACAATCACAGCTACTCTTTCATCTCTTCCTTACCATTCAAAGTCTTCAAAGGTACAGAAGCAAGGTTTCCTGCTGATGGGTCTCTCGTAATCGGAACTGATCATGCAGCAATGGTCAGGGTACCTTCTCTCATACTCAACAGACTCACCTAGTATACACAACTGGCCCTCTCTCTACAAAATAATATTAAAATAAATAATTTACATAAACCAAGTTTAAGGTACTTCAGTTCCATACTGCACTAGCTTACCTCGTCAGTTGGTCTCCACTGATAATAATCACTGGCATTACAGTTTGATATATTTAATACAGTAAAGTCCAGATCAATCACTAGCCATTCAAAGTTGGCATAAGTAGCGTCAGGTCTGTATCCAAATACGGTAGCATGTTGAGACTCCTCCCCATATTCCGTAAACATCCTCACTACGTATATCCTCTGGCTGACGCTGGCATTTGTGAATGTGTAAGTACTCCAGTTCTGTCCCTCGTCACAGGAAGATCTGAAAGGAATATAAAGTATAATAGAAACAGAGAAAGAAGAGCTACATGTAGAAGGGATGCAAGTACAGTGTACATGAAGTGTGTAGGAGAGTTTCCCACAAAGCACGAGCTTCATGAGCTGACAAACACTGTATGCAGTCTATAGCATTTTGGAGCAATTTTAAAAATTCGTAAAAATCCAAATTTGATCGGAATCAGTTCAAACTTTCTGCACAGCATAAAAACATGTATATGTGTCAGAAAAAATTATAAAAATGAAAAATTCGCTACTTTTCATTTTTGGCAAAATTTGGCCAAAATCCCTGTACTATAGTACAGGGACTTTGGCCTGATTTTGGAGCAATTTTAAAAATTCATAAAAAATCTAAATTTGATTGGAATCAGTTCAAACTTTCTACACAACATAAGAACATGCATACGTATCAGAAAAAATTATAAAAATGAAAAATTCTCTACTTTTCATTTTTGGCAAAATTTGGCTGAAATCCCTGTACTACAGTACAGGGACTTTGGTTTTGAGCAGCATGTACATGTACAGGTGGATTATATTTATAACTTACTGTACTGTACTGGTTTGCGTCCATTTGGCAACAATAGAGGTGAACACTCCAAAATTGATCAGCTGGAACTCTTTATAACCCGAGGCTAGTTCCCTCCAAGTGACTCCACCATTGTCCGATATATATAACCTCAAGGCGTAGTAGTTGTACCGATTGAGACTTAAACCAAGATTACCTGAATAAATAAATAAATAAATAAATAAATAAATAAATAAATAAAATAAATAAATAATAATAACTAGGAGTACATGTATTGTATAATTATACGTACCTAATGCCATTATGATGTTAGGGGCGGAGTCTTGTGATAATATCGGCTGGAAACCATGAGACTCATCAATGTACATGTGAAGGTGAAGGGAACACGGCTACAGGTGGAGAAAAACAACACAACATTAAATAAACATAAACAACAAAACATTAAATAAACATAAACAATATAATTAAGAATATACAACACTAAGTATAGCTAATACATGTCACTACACTTCCTTAAACATACACTACAGTTAACATTTGATGTGGTCAAACAACATTTTACTTGGAAATATAGATAACTTTTACACTACATGAATATAGTATATACATTGTACAAGTAATAGTACATATCTTCACTACTATCAATGTATCAATGTATCAATGTATCAATGTATCAATGTATCAGTGTATCAGTGTATCAGTGTATCAGTGTATCAATGTATCAGTGTATCAATGTATCAGTGTATCAGTGTATCAATGTATCAGTGTATCAATGTATCAATGTATCAGTGCATCAATGTATCAGTGTATCAATGTATCAGTGTATCAATGTATCAGTGTATCAATCTACATGTCATTTGCTGGTTCAATACTCACCAGGTTACAATTGATCAAGTGTCCACTAGCATCAGTAGTAGGTGGATTGAGTGGTTTCCATTCTCCTCCTTTATCAAAGCTGATGACAGTAGCCCCCTGAGTACTACCGTACACTCTCCTGTTGACAAGATAAGTTCCAGGAATACCCTCTACTACGTACACATCAAAAGTAGGATATCTATCATCAGGTAAAAATAACATAAAGTAATAATAATAATTATGTGTCATTTTGTGAATATTATACATTGATAATAATAGTGAAAACAAAGCTTTTAATACAAGTACTGTACAATACACTTATAATAATAACAATATCTACAATGAATGAACAGAATTCATTTTCACATCAATACATGTACATGTTTTTACTTTGAATTCCTTCCATCATTTTAAAAATTCCCCCCTCTCTCCCCTCCCCCTCTCCCTCCTCAACTAACGAGTCAATCCAGTCGCTCTCTGGTGGACTGATGAGGTGTTCAAGTGACAGTGAGTAGTTGAGACCCGCCTCCTCCGATATGTAAAGGTTAGTGTTATTGGGGTCGTGATACACGCCCATCAGAACCTGACCCTCACTGCCATCAACCATTGCATAATGCTACAATAATAATAATAAAATAATAATAATAATAAATAAATATATGTGAAGTTATATGTACATATACATGTACATGTTTGTGTTACATAATACATTAAGAATTTTGTTTATAAAATGACAGCTGGACTGATGCCATGCAATTAAGATATCAGATATACATTTGGGAGGTACATATAAGCTACAGGTAATTGTGCTTAAAATGGAATTAACTATGTACAGTACATGATAATTAAATTATGTTGTATGTGTCAGCTATCATGTGCCATCACAAAAATGTATTTATATAAATAATACATGAGAATTGACATACATGTACGTGTACCAATTAAACTAAGAGAGAAACAGATACAGGATACTATGTACATGTACTGATCGTGTACATGTACATGCCTTGTAAATCATTACAATACAATGAAAGAATAAAGAGACACTTCACTGTATGTGCAGCAACAGGTTTAATATGTTACAGTGTTTCACTTACTCTTTCATCAAGTTGAAGAGAAAAGGAAGCAGCTTTGAAGGCTTTACGATAATGACTGACCCAAAGGGGACTAATGTAACCAGTAGTGGGCCTACCAACATCTGAATAATTCCTCTGAAAAAAGAGAGGGAGAGAGAGGAGGGATAAGAGAAAGAGTCAAATTATTATAATGTAATAGATCTGGCTAGCAATGTATATACATCATAATGATGCAGTGATTACAGTCAGCACATTCTATTATAATGGAAAAGAAACACACTGGATACCTGAGTAAACATGTACTGATAAGAAAGAGCAAATGAATTAGGCATGAATACACCCAATGAAGCATCAAACAATGGCTGACTGGAACTATTGTATGTTGAAAGGGTTGCCTTGTACAACTGACAGGCAGTAGCTATAGAAAAAGGAAGAGAAAGAGAAAGGAAAGAAGAGAGTGAAAGAGAGAGAGAGAGAGAAAGGAAAGAAGAGTGAGAGAAGATAAACAATGCCAAGGATATCCAATGACAGACAACCACAACCCACAGCATATCATTGATCATATGCATCAAGTGTGAACATTCACATACAATTATTTACAAGTACATGTACATATTATAAAGGTACATAAAGAGAGCATGATGTTTAGGTGATAACTGAAAGTGTTACATGATGTATTCGTGCACGTGCACTAACAAGGTTGCTAACAAGCTAAACACAATTCCAAACATACCGTTAATTTTCATATCAAAGTAAACGGTGCTGCCATCTTCATAAGTGGAGTTTAACTGACGCCATTCGTACCTCGTGACATTAGCACCGAGTTTGGACCAAGTAGCACCTGTATTATTGGACACCCATAACTACAGGGAGAAGAGAAAGGAGAACAAAAATAAATAATGTACAGTACAAGTTTATGGCATGAAATAACAAGATTGATCCAGTGACTCACTGTTTGAAGGGTATTGTCGTATCCCAGTACATAGCTGTCATACTTAGCCACATTGGGTACATAAGAGTGTTGAAATGTGAATTTATCCGGAGAGAAATTCACATGGTATTCAATAAAAGTGTCCCCCTCATCCAAAGTAACGTAAATGTTGCGATGAATGACATCAGCAAAAATGAGCTACATTAGGATATAAAGAGAATAGATGAGAAGATGTTTGAAGTACATGTACATGTACATATTATAGTTAGCCAGCTGCACTTTGCATTTGGAAAAGAGCCAAAATACATGATGTAAGTACATAAATAATTTGTTCTATAAAAGGTTAATTTTATAGGCAATTTGAAAGATGGAATGTATCATTTCCTAATTGCTATTAAATAATAATAATAATTTCCTAGATCAGGGTTAAGCAGAAAGCTTGCTGTATTATGACACATATAATCATTGAATATCATTAAATATCATTATAATATCATTAAAATCATCATACTTATGTAGCAAGACTCACTTTATCAGCATCAGAGCTGACGTAATACCACTCAAGTATGATCTGGTTCGAATAGACACGACCTGTTATATTCTGAAAACTCTTTCCATAATCCGTAGACCTATGCATTGTTATTTTAAAATAATTATAATAATGATGACAATGAATAGAAGTATGTGGTTTTTGTTAGCTTACAGCCAGAGGTAGCTCTCCCTTGAATTGCCATCACTGTCTCTATCTCTTGTTAATATGAAGATCCTCTGTAAATTAAATGGAGTCAAAAAGTGATCAACTTAATACTTTATACAATACAAAGCAGCTAAAACAACTACATTGTCTTGATAAGAGAAAGCTGATAATTTTCATGAGAAAAATTCCTGTCCCTTGCTTTCTCTCATAATAAAGGAAACGCACATACACAACACTGATACTATGTACATGTTGGTGTGTGTGTGTTCTTTACTTTCTTGGGCAGTCCTGACCAGTGAACCAGTGCAAAGGTGTGGGGATCATTTTCAAGAACAACTGTTGTACCAAATCCATTAGGTGCAACGTCAGGAAGAGATCTCAACTGACGCTCTCGTGACAAGGAACTGAAGAATAAAAGAGAGAAGACACAGGAGGGAAGAGAAAGAGGAGTGGATGTGTATGTACATGTGCATAAAAATAAGATGAAAAAAGTGAACTAGAAAGAGCATAAAGTTTTTATTACCTATCTTCCTTATCTTCCTTCTCTGCTTGTTCACGAGCTTGTTTTGTTGCTTTCTGATACACTGATCCTAAAGGCTCGTCAAGACTATCAATCTTGACCACTAATGGCTGACGAACGGCTCCCTTTGGCAGCTTAGGGCCATGTACAACAGCTAGAGTGGAGCCAAAGAGAAAGGAGAAGAGAAAGAGAAGGAAAAGAAAGCCCTGTCTTGTAACAGCTTGCATTGTGTTCCGCAGAGAGAGAAGAAATAACAAGCCACGCCCTTGTAGATTATGTAATTCATGTATGATCATTACCAACTTTTACTAGCTATTTTATGTATTATCATAATAAAATATTGTAGTAATGAGTTCTTTATTATCAAAAAAGTATTAATAATAATAATAAATGATATAACATATTGTTATCTTTATCCTTATTATGTCTAAAGTGGTGGAAGTTTTAATTTTGCTGGCACATTCAAAAACCTGCAAAGATTTCGACGAGTAAAAATACATGTTTGAAGTTGAATACCTCTTCATTATAAAACGTGGTTTCTTCTCAGCCTCTTCCACATTCAACTTCCTTGCTTTAGAGTGAAGGCTCAGTTTTTGCTTCTGGATTTCCTTCTTTTCCTGCAAATAACATTATACATAAATTGTCAGTGAATGATGAATGTATATACATTATATATGTATCATTATTCAGGCAACATTCATATACAGCAGTGGATTATTGTGATATGCTTTGCAGGTACAAAACTTTTACTTGTTGCTTTATTATGGCAGCCTTTACTCTTCTCCTGTTGCTGTCCACCCATTCCTTCTGGTACTCCATGGATAATAACTTATGGAAGTCAAGAGGAGGTTCACTAGTTCTACAAGAAAGAAAGCAAGAAATTGGCACAAAAAGATAAGGAGTAAAAGCGGATGTTTTGATTTACAGTGATGGTAGTTTGGGGCTTGTCTTCTTGGTTCTGCCAGCTTGAGGTGGGTAGGTTAGTCTCCTGTGTCTAGCACGGAGTGCATTCGATGGTGAGAGTGATTCATCGGCTACAGTCCATGTTAAAAAGCTGCTTTTAACACGTGAGGCAGATCCTTCATCTTTAGCAGGTTGAGCAGGTAAAGGAGTATGATCAAACCATTCAACCCATGGATATGACTGAGGCTTAGCATTAGGAACAACAGTGTGCTCGTGGTGCACTAACAGATCTAAAATATAAAAGCAAAGCTCTACTGTATTGTGCATTAGAATCCTTATTTTATGCAAAATTGCATGGAGCTCATAAAAGCATATCTTGATGGATATTTCTAACCTTTCCTGCCACCTAGCTTGGCAAGTGTGGCATAGTCTAGCTTATCCTCGTCCACTTCTTCCCTGATTGTTGCCAGTGCTGCTTCCTTGCCCTCCATTAGTATTTCAAGTCAGTCACCATACACCATCAATCATTATTGAGTGTTGATTAGATGAGGGTTACTATGGCAACCGCTTCTGACTACACAAAATGGCGGATCAGGCAAGTCAAAGGTTTTATGTCTTTTAACGCTCTATCCTTCTCCCTCTCTCTCTTTCTTTGCTTTTATATTGCTTATTTTAGATGTTAAGAGATGGTGAGGCTGGAGAAGAGGTATGAAACCTTTTAATTTTTCACAATCTTGAATCTCCCTTTCTTCATTCCAGGCTATCATCACTACAGAGTTAAATTCAGCAGCTTACAGTGGAGACAAGGACCTGCTGCTGGCATTACTGAAGGAACATGATATTGATGAGTGTGATGAACAAGGCCGGACACCATTAGTACGTACATGTACATCTGTTCATTTATGATGTTGTTTATACCTTTGTAGATGTATGCGTCTATGGTTAACCAATACGATATTGTGGATTTACTCTTGAAAAGGAAAGCATCTTCAACCATACAAGACACTCTAGGCCAGACTCCATTACATCTGGCAGCATCAAATGTAAAGACTTAGTCTCTTCTCTTCTAAATTCTACTCCATTATTATTTTATGGTTACAGAATGCGTTTGAGTGTCTGAAGTTGTTGGCTAGGTCTGCTACTGAGCTCAATATTAAAGATATGGATGGTCGGACTCCACTTCACCTTTCATCTGCTAAATCAAATTTAAGAGTAAGATTTCAGCAAAGTATGCATACACGTACACATGTACATATACACACAAGGGTTTCTCACAAAGAGTGCTAAGTGAGTATGAGCTTCATGAGCTGTCAAGCACAAATTTACTGAAGGTTGAGCACTATATCAAAATCATATCAGAAACCCTGGGTACATGTACATTAAACAAGGACTATAAAACTAAGAATACTGTAATTAATTTTAATTAATTTTTTGATAGTGCCTAGATTTCCTTATAAGGAAGTTACGTTCTAGTGAACTAAACGAAGGTGACAATGAAAAGGTACTTATACAGTTAAGAGTATCCTATCATACTACATAATGTACACAAATGGTGTGTGTTTCATTAGATGACTGCCTTGCATTGGTGTGCTTATAATAATAATTCTGAAGGTGTCAGGAAACTCCTTCAATCAGTAAGTTCTTGTGATTTTAGGATCTCTTAATGTCCTCCTGTTTTCCCTCCTCTCTCTCTCTCTCTTTCTCGTAGGGTGCTGATATCGTATTAACTGATATTGATGGTAAGACTGGACTCCATTGGACTGCCAGTAATGAAGATGACAGTACAATCAAAGTCCTTTTAGTAAGCTACTCTTCATGTATACATGATACATGGTTATAATACTCCTAATCCTTGTCAGGATAAAGCTCCCACTGCCATTAACTTGAAAGACAAAGATGAAAGGACAGTCCTCCACTTATCAGTAGCAGCAGGCAATGCAACAGTCATAATGACACTGGTTAGAAACTTGGAATACACATTCACTTTATACTCATCTTCTTTAATAATGTGTTTGTATAATGTATTATTATTATGCTTTGCCCTCTGCTTTAGTTAAATTCTTCTTCCGTCCGTTGTGATGTGATGGCTGTTGATAGTGACTTCCGTACTCCATTACATTGGGCAGCAGTTCTAGGTCTCTCTCAGATTGTTGGTATACTAATGGAGAATGGAGCTGATCCCACTGCTGTTGATGCCACTGGGGCTACACCACTCCGCTATGCTGTGAGTTTTATTATTTAAAATGCCAATCATTAATGTTTTTATATTTTATAATAACAGGCAATGAAAGACCATGAGGTATGTAGTATGTATATTTATACATTTGTACATCCATTATGATTTCATAATAATCTGCATGACTACAGTACATACATGTATGTTCTCTATTGCATACATGAATACATCTACATATGTTTGCTGCTGCCAATCCTTTGCACAATACAGTAGATGTGTGCTATCAACCATTAGGTAATTGATATGCATCGCTGTATATTAATTTATTTTCGACATTAATTCTTGCTCTCTAAAAAAATTCTACCATTTAAAAAATAAGGCACAATAATAATCAGAAATACACTACATAACTTCCTACACTACAAAAAAATGACTATAACTATGTCACACTATCTAATGATTTGTGCCAGTTTCAATGTTCCCATTAAGCAACGTAGCAGGTTATACCTTCAGATGTATAACCATGCTTCCCTTTGGCTCCAGGAGTTGTAGTACCAATTTCATGGGGATTGGTGGTATAGAAATGGTCGTTACCACTCCAGTATCGGTACAAAGGATGATTGATGCCAGGCAAGTAATCCTTGAAACAATATCCTTGAATGCCTTCATATTTCCAACCATGAGCTCCACATGCTAACTCGTTGAAGTTTGTTGTATAGAAATGATCTTTTATTCCTGAATTCCAATACCTGAAAAGTGGAACAACATCAGGACCTACAAGTATAAGAAGAAAGAATCTTAAACATTGGCAGACACTGCTTGATGCTATTTCCTTACCAGCTCTTCTGTTATAAATTTTACCGACAGTGCCTTGACTCCTGTAGCCGTATCTTCCTAAGGTACCAGGTCTTGTAGTTCCAATCTCATGTGGATTGGTAGTATAGAAATGATCATTACCAGAGCCTACAGATGCAGTGTATAGCAATAAAAGAGCATTGCCATTAGTTTATGTGTGTTAACTGACTCAAATGATAGCGATACAATGGTACAAGAGAGCAACCTTCAGTCTTCACATCTGCTGCTATAAGCAAGATACTATCAACAGTAATCAATACTTATGTACTTACACAGTATGGTATTCTCAAGAAGCATGTCAACATCATCAGTCTTCTTCTCTTCAACTGCTAATGATAATATAGATGACAAATATGCTACTATCAACTTACAAAGCTCCTGTCCATTGCTGTCATCAATTGTATCCCATTCTTCAAAGCTGTTTGATTCTTGCACTATTATTTATAATGAATAGTATCATTTTTATCTTCATGAAATGCAGCAACTTACCATTACTTGGGAGACATTGGATAGTCACTAGAACAGCAGCTAAGAATACAAGTGTTGCCTTCATTCTTATTGTAACTTTATGTATAATGGCTCTCTGGTTTGGTAATTCAAGTATTCGGCTTGGTTAAGCTCACTGTGTCTCGTCCCTTATATATGAACTGGTTGTTATGCAAGAGTACGTAGATCTATTTTTGAGGTGCTAGTTATCAAATCTTCACTTTTAATGTACACAGTGATGATATTTATGGCTTTTATATCATAAATATTATTGTTTTTCTCGTGGATGTACTGCAATAGCTCCAGTTTCAATTGTGTCTCAGTGCCAATCATTATTATAATGTTTGGTGTCTTTTCCTTGTTTTCATTTCCTGTTAGTGGCTCTTATTGAAGTTAGAAATGGATGAATTGCATTAATATACATGGTACTAGGTTATCAAATCTTCACTTTTAATGTACACAGTGATGATGTATTTATGGCTTTTATATCATAAATATTATTTTCCTCGTGGATGTACTCCGGGTTCAATTGTGTCTCAGTACCTCTCTACTATCATTATAATGTTTGATGTCTCTCCTTATCTCCATTTCCTTTATTATATTTGGATTGGATTATCAATTGTGTCATGTCTTTTCCTTATTTGCATTTCCTTTATTGAAATTTGTTATTATAATATGTACATGTACATGTAGTTCAATGCTTTCAAACTAAAAGTGCTGTATTTGATATGCATAACTACTACTAATGAATTATTAATTGTTCTGTTAGAGTTGAACAGAATAATTAATTATTCATCAATCCTTGCACCATACAATAGATTGGTAATTGGTATCCATCGCTGTATATTAATTTATTTTTAACATTAATTGTTGTTTTTTAAAAAGCTCTACCATTTAAAAAATAAGGCACAATAATCAGAAATACACAACATAACTTCCTACACTACAAAAATAAATGACTATGTCACACTATCTAATGATTTGTGCCAGCTTCAATGTTCCCATTAAACAACATAGCAGGTTATACCTTCAGATATATAACCATGCTTCCCTTTGACTCCAGGGGTTGTAGTTCCAATCTCGCTTGGGTTGGTAGTATAGAAATGATCATTATTACCATTCCAGTATCGGTACAAAGGGCGATTGATGCCAGGCAAGAAATATTTAAAACAATATCCTTGAATGCCTTCATAGTTGAAACCAGAAGCTCCACATGCTAACTCATGGAAGTTTGTTGTATAGAAATGATCTTTTATTCCTGAATTCCAATACCTGAAAAGTGGAACAACATCAGGAGCTATAAGAAAGAACCTTAAACATTGCTTGATGCTATTTCCTTACCAGCTCTTCTGTTATAAATTCTACCGACAGTTCCTTCACTCTTGAAGCCGTATCTTCCTGTAGTACCAGGGGTTGTAGTTCCAATCTCGTTTGGATTGGTAGTATAGAAATGATCATTACCAGAGCCTACAGATACAGTGGACATGTAATTATAGCAATAAAAGAGCATTGTTAGTTTATGTGTGTTAACTGACTTAAATAATAACGATACAATGGTACAAGAGAGCAACCTTCAGTCTTCACATCTGCTGCTATAAGCAAGATAATATCAACAGTAATCAATACTTATGTACTTACACAGTATGGTATTCTCAAGAAGCATGTCAACATCATCAGCCTTCTTCTCTTCAACTGCTAATGATAATATAGATAACAAATATGCTACTATCAACTTACAAAGCTCCTGTCCATTGCTGTCATCAATTGTGTCCCATTCTTCAAGACTGTTTGATTCTTGCACTATTATTTATAATGAATAGTATCATTTTATCTTCATGAAATGCAGCAACTTACCATTACTTGGGAGACATTGGATAGTCACTAGAACAGCAGCTAAGAATACAAGTGTTGCCTTCATTCTTATTGTAACTTTATGTATAATGGCTCTCTGGTTTGGTAATTCAAGTATTCGGCTTGGTTAAAGCTCACTGTGTCTGGTCCCTTATATATGAACTGGTTGCAAGAACACATAATTTTAGAGCTACTGGTTATCAAATCTTCAATTTTAATGTACACAGTGATGATGATATTTATGTACAGTACATCAACTAGTCTAATGCTAATAGTTCATCATGTTGCATCTACTCTTGTTATTTTTGATTTCTTTCCTCATTATTTTTATCATAAATATTATTTTCCTCGTGGATATACTGCAATAGCTTCAGTTTCAATTGTGTCTCAGTGCCAATCATTAGTATAATGTTTGGTGTCTTTTCTTTATTTGCATTTCCTTTGTTATGTTTGGATTGGAAATGGATTAATTTCATTAATAAGTATAGCAAGGCTGTAAAAGTTGTGGCAGCCATTTTGTTTGGGAGTGAATCCTACTTAGTATTGCTACTGCGTTACTAATGTTATACATGTACATGTACATAGGTGAACATTTAAAAACTAAAACTACTGCTAATAAATGATAATAATTCTGTTACAATTTACTGTTGTAATTATTGTGATAGGACACAGTTGAGGTTCTATTGAGTTTCAATTCTGATGACATACCTGATAATGAAGGACGTACAGCTCTGATGGTTGCAGCTGAGAAAGGATATTATAATATTGTGAAGAAGATGATTGAGAGAAAAGTTGAGATAAACGCTCAAGATAATCAAGGAGCAACTGGTAATGAATGCAGTGTACATGATTAACTTCATTTAAATTCTATTCATTCTATAGCACTTCATTTAGCAGCTTATAGTGGCCATTCTGATATTTGTCAGCTCTTCATTCAAGTAAGCACATTATGAAATAAAACAATTCCAAACTGATTTAATTATATTCCTAATCCTTCCCCTCCCTCTCCCCCCACAGCACAATGCTGATATCAATGCTACTGATATCAATGGACACAGTCCTTTATTCAGAGCCTGTGAGTGTGGCCATAACCCAGTAGTATTGACACTGATACAGCACAAGGCACTAGTGGATCTTATTGATAATGAGGGAAGGACCTGCTTACACTGGGCAGCATCAGGTGGGCATGAGTTCATAGTCACTACACTGATACACAGTGGACTACCTGTAGATATACTGGACAATGAAAAGTAAGTTCACTGTATTTTAATAAAGTATCTGTTTCTCTTCCAATTAGTCGTTCCTCACTACATTGTGCTGCTTACAATGGCTCAGTCGGTTGCTGCTCTGAACTCATTAATGCTAATGCTTTCATTAATCAAACTGATAAAGATGGCGTCACTCCACTACACTGGGCCTGTGCTGGGGGCAGCAGTGACTGTGTTCAGTTTCTACTAAGCAAAGGAGCTAATCCAAATGCAATGGATAGCTCAGAGCAACTGACTCCATTGGATTATGCTATACTTGAGAATCATCAGGAGCTAGCACAAGCTCTTATAATCAATGGAGCTCTGACTATTGCCAGCATACAAGAGCTGGCTGCCATTATGATTCAGAAGGTTGTACGTGGGTATTTGGCAAGGAAAAGATTCAAGTTGCTTCACGCAGAGAAGGTGAAGGGAGAGGTAAAGGTGGAAGAGACAGGAGGGACAGAAACTGAAGCAACTGATGCTGTTTCTAGTCGACCTGATTCTAGTCATAGGAGGTCAGTTTAGCTATGTACATGTACAGAGTACAGACACTAGTCACACTGTAGGCACTATGATTAATACAGATAGGAAGTAATTATGGTATTATTATTATTATTATTAATAGGAGTCTTGAACTTCAAGTTGCTGAATCAGAGAGACAAGCTAAGGAATGGGCATTAAGAAGCCCATCAACTGTAAGTAATGACTATATTAAGAAAGCATAAGAGTTAATGTATTTATGTACATTTTTTGTTTTATTCTGATACTAGAGGGCACTTCAGAGTCAACTAGCTAGAAAGGACAGACAGAGGATGACACTTCATCGTAAGAAGACACATGCTGCACTAGTTATACAATATGCCTGGAGGAAGTAAGACCATACCTTTACTATTATCCTGTATCTACATGTACACCTCTACTTAATGTTTCTTTGTTTAGATACAAAAGAAGGAAGCATTACCTTGAGATTGAGGATGCCAAAAGGAAAGCTAGACAAAGACTAGTGAGTAAACTGCAGTACATTATTGCAGGATTAAGTACATGTACATGTACTGTACATATTCATTTTATTTTATGATTACTGCATGAGGCAGTGTTGAGCTATCAATAATCCATTTGTTTGTTCATTAGGGATTAGACCATTGGAGGAAAGAGATAGCTGCATTAGTTATACAACTAGCATGGAGACAGTATCAAAGAAAACAAGTACTAAAACTAGCAAATAAGAGAAGAAGAATACTACATCAATGGACACCAAGGTATGGTACTAGTATTAACAGAAATGTGTAGCATGTATTGTACATGTACATGTATATAACATTTAAATTTTCTTATGTTACAGTGTCCTTGCTGCAAAGCAGAGATTACTAGTGGAAAAAGTTTATGGTACAGTAGCACATTCTTCCTCTTAAATTTAATGATTTTCTTATTTTTAGGTCAAGAACTAAAGACTAGTCAGTATCACCCTCCTAAACCACGCCCCATGGTACGGCCAGCTTACCTTCAGCTAGTTGCATCTCCTGCTGGTAAGATACCATTAATGATAATAAAAAGAGTCTGTAATGTCTTCTTTGTGTAGCTACTTCTTTTAATTTTGCTGTGAACCAGTATCAGACTTCATTCTCTCCTCAGTCAAGAGTCTTTTAGATTAATGATAATAATGAATGTGTAAACTGCTTGTGTACGTATTACCCCCTTCACCTTTTACTGTCTGTTCTTCAAATTATTAGCAACTCAATTAAAATGTATTAGTATGATTATTATTATTATTTTTCCTCTTATTCTCATGCATAAAAACTCATTGTGACGCTACAAAAAAAATAAAGAAAATGTTTCTCTACTATTGTTTGTGCTAGTTTCAATGGTTCCATTATACAACATAGCAGACTATATCTTCAAATCTATAACCATGATTCCCTGTAACTCCAATGGTTGTTGTTCCAATCTCAGATTCATTTGTTGTGTAAAAATGATCATTAGCATTATCACTCCAGTATCGGTACAAAGGGCGATTGATGCCAGGCAAAGAATTCTTGAAGCAATATCCTTGAATGCCTTCATATTTCCAACCAGCAGCTTCACATCTTAACTCGTTGAAGTTTGCTGTATAGAGACTATCTTGTATTCCTCCATTGTAATATCTGTAAAGTGGAACAACAGCTGGAGCTACAAGTACATGTATACATGTGTATAAGAAGAAAGATGCTTAGCATTGGCAGATAATGATGTTATCTTCTCACCAGCATAAATGTGAGCAGCAATTCCTTCACTCTTGAAACCATGTTTACCTATTTGACCAGGGATGGTAGTTCCAACCTCATCTGGAGAGGTAGTGTAGAAATGATTAGCACCATGACCTGATCCTGATGTACACATAATAAGTATGCATGGTAACATTATGTGAACTGACCTAAATACTGGTAGAGTGGTACGAAAGAACCAATTGCAGCCTTGACTTCTTCAGCTATATCAGGAGGGCATGTGCACTTGGGCTCGGCTATACGCAAGGTATTATATAAATGAGTAAAATACAGATTGTTAAGTCAGTCTTGCATGCAGCCAGAGCAGTCTTGCATGCGAACCAATGTATAGAACATAGTGTCATCTATAATCAAAGGTCAATCAGTACTCGCTCGACTACCCAGTATACACCCTAGTTAGAGTACCGGTACGCCCATTAACTTGCACCTACTCATGCAGATCCGCCCTTGAATGCTGAACAATGATCACAACCATAGGTGTAGGAAAGGGGGGGCTAGGGGGCTGAAGCCCCCCCAACTTTTCAGCAGGAGGGCAGGGGCGTATCTAGGAATTGGGGAAAGGGGTGCTGAGGGTGCGCGAAGTGTGCCGCGATTTTGGCCACACCCATTTTTACGGCGGTAAAACAGCCTTTTCCTGCATTTTCGTCAATTACGGGTGGGGCCAAGATCATTTCAAGCATACTGCTATGTTACTGGTACTTTTGATTGCTCCTTAAAGCACTGGAAACTGCTGAAATCATGATAAGGGGGCTAAATAACTTTGTTAAGAGGCTTGGTAGTCATGCAAGAGTCCAGGACTTCAGTAATTTTTTCTGAGCCCAGCCCTGAGGGGGGTGCTCAAGCCCCCTCAGCCCCCCCTTAAATGCGCCTCTGGGAGGGGCTTAGCCCCCCAACTTTTGGTAGATGAACAATAAGAAATACCATCACATGGCTTTATTTCAAGTTGTTGTTGTTGTTATTATTATTATTATTATTATTATTATTATTATTATTATTATTATTATTATTAAACACTTTACAGGTAAGAAGTGGGAAGGACAAATAATAGAGGTTAGGAAATA